ATTACGAAAATGCCATCCATAAATAAATTGGCCCAAATCGATGTTTAACGGACTTATCATCCGTGGAGAATAGGATCAATAGATTTCATTATCGGTGGAGAATAGCCTCGGCCTGATTCCGTGATCTGTAGCCTCCAGAATCGAAAGAAAATGGCATTTCGGATAAATCGCCCGAAATCTGTGATGGTACCCCTTCGGAATCTGCCAAAATTAACCCGGAATAAATCTGGTCAAATCGGTGCTTAATGGACTCAATCATCATTAGAGAATAGCCTCAGGCCGAATCCGTAATCTGTAGCCTTCAATATCCAAAGAAAATGGCATTTTGTCGCCCAAGAAATTACGAAAATGTCATCCGAAAATAAATTGGCCCAAATTGATGCTTAACGGACTTATCATCCGTGGAGAATAGGATCAATAGACTTCATTATCGGTGGAGAATAGCCTCGGCCTGATTCCGTGATCTGTAGCCTCCAGAATCGAAAGAAAATGGCATTTCGAATAAATCGCCCGAAACCTGTGATGGTACCCCTTTGGAATCTACCAAAAATTGCCCAGGAATAAATTCGCCCAAATCGGTGCTTAATGGACTCAATCATCGTTGGAGAATAGCCTCAGGCCGAATCCGTGATCTGCATCATTCAATATCCAATGAAAATGGCCTTTCGTCGCCCAAGAAATTACGAAAATGCAATCGGAAAATAAATTGGCCCAAATTGATGCTTAACGGACTTATCATCCGTGGAGAATAGGATAAATAGACTTCATTATTGGTGGAGAATAGCCTCTGCCTGATCCTGTGATCTGTAGCCTCCATAATCAAAAGAAAATGGCATTTCGAATAAATCGCCCGAAATCTATGATAGTACCCCTTTGGAATCTGCCAAAAATTGACCCGGAATAAATCCGCCCAATTGAGTGCTTCATGGACTCAATCATCGTTGGAGAATAGCCTCACGCCGAATTCGTAATCTGTAGCCTTCAATATCCAAAGAAAATGGCCTTTCGTCGCCCAAGAAATTACGAAAAAGCCATCCAAAAATAAATTGGCCCAAATCGATGCTTAACGGACTTATCATCCGTGGAGAATAGGATCAATAGACTTCATTATTGGTGGAGAATAGTTTCGACCTGATTCCGTGATCTGTAGCCTCCAGAATCGAAAGAAAATGGCATTTCGGATAAATCGCCCAAAATCTGTGATGGTACCCCGTTGGAATCTGCCAAAAATTGACCCGAAGTAAATCCGCCTAAATCGGTGCTTAATGGACTCAATCATCGTTGGAGAATAGCCTCAGGCCGAATCCGTGATCTGTAGACTTCAATAACAAATGAAAATGGCCTTTCGTCGCCCAAGAAATTACGAAAATGCCATCCGAAAATAAATTGGCCCAAATCGATGCTTAACGGACTTATCATCCGTGGAGAATAGGATCAATAGATTTCATTATCGGTGGAGAATAGCCTCGGCCTGATTCCGTGATCTGTAGCCTCCAGAATCGAAAGAAAATGGCATTTCGGATAAATCGCCCGAAATCTGTGATGGTACCCCTTTGGAATCTGCCAAAAATTGACCCGCAATAAATCTGGTCAAATCGGTGCTTAATGGACTCAATCATCGTTAGAGAATAGCCTCAGGCCGAATCCGTAATCTGTAGCCTTCAATATCCAAAGAAAATGGCATTTCGTCGCCCAAGAAATTACGAAAATGCCATACGAAAATAAATTGGCCCAAATCGATGCTTAACGGACTTATCATCCGTGGAGAATAGGATCAATAGACTTCATTATCGGTGGAGAATAGCTTCGGCCTTATTCCGTGATCTGTAGCCTCCAGAATCGAAAGAAAATGGCATTTCGAATAAATTGCCCGAAATCTGTGATGGTACCCCTTTGGAATCTACCAAAAATTGCCCAGGAATAAATTCGCCCAAATCGGTGCTTAATGGACTCAATCATCGTTGGAGAATAGCCTCAGGCCGAATCCGTGATCTGCAGCATTCAATATCCAATGAAAATGGCCTTTCGTCGCCCAAGAAATTACGAAAATGCAATCGGAAAATAAATTGGCCCAAATTGATGCTTAACGGACTTATCATCCGTGGAGAATAGGATCAATAGACTTCATTATTGGTGGAGAATAGCCTCTGCCTGATCCCGTGATCTGTAGCCTCCATAATCAAAAGAAAATGGCATTTCGAATAAATCGCCTGAAATCTATGATAGTACCCCCTTTGGAATCTGCCAAAAATTGACCCGGAATAAATCCGCCCAATTGAGTGCTTAATGGACTCAATCATCGTTGGAGAATAGCCTCAGGCCGAATTCGTAATCTGTAGCCTTCAATATCCAAAGAAAATGGCCTTTCGTCGCCCAAGAAATTACGAAAAAGCCATCCGAAAATAAATTGTCCCAAATCGATGCTTAACGGACTTATCATCCATGGAGAATAGGATCAATAGACTTCATTATCGGTGGAGAATAGCCTCGACCTGATTCCGTGATCTGTAGCCTCCAGAATCGAAAGAAAATGGCATTTCGGATAAATCGCCCAAAATCTGTGATGGTACCCCTTTTGAATCTGCCAAAAATTGACCCGAAGTAAATCCACCCAAATCGGTGCTTAATGGACTCAATCATCGTTGGAGAATAGCCTCAGGGCGAATCCGTGATCTGTAGACTTCAATAACAACTGACAATGGCCTTTCGTCGCCCAAGAAATTACGAAAATGCCATCCAAAAATAAATTGGCCCAAATCGATGCTTAACGGACTTATCATCCGTGGAGAATAGGATCAATAGATTTCATTATCGGAGGAGAATAGCCTCGGCCTGATTCCGTGATCTGTAGCCTCCAGAATCGAAAGAAAATGGCATTTCGGATAAATCGCCCGAAATCTGTGATGGTACCCCTTTGGAATCTGCCAAAATTGACCCGGAATAAATCTGGTCAAATCGGTGCTTAATGGACTCAATCATCATTAGAGAATAGCCTCAGGCCGAATCCGTAATCTGTAGCCTTCAATATCCAAAGAAAATGGCATTTCGTCGCCCAAGAAATTACGAAAATGTCATCCGAAAATAAATTGGCCCAAATTGATGCTTAACGGACTTATCATCCGTGGAGAATAGGATCAATAGACTTCATTATCGGTGGAGAATAGCCTCGGCCTGATTCCGTGATCTGTAGCCTCCAGAATTAAAAGAAAATGGCATTTCGAATAAATCGCCCGAAATCTGTGATGGTACCCCTTTGGAATCTACCAAAAATTGCCCAGGAATAAATTCGCCCAAATCGGTGCTTAATGGACTCAATTATCATTGGAGAATAGCCTCAGGCCGAATCCGTGATCTGCAGCATTCAATATCCAATGAAAATGGCCTTTCGTCGCCCAAGAAATTACGAAAATGCAATCGGAAAATAAATTGGCCCAAATTGATGCTTAACGGACTTATCATCCGTGGAGAATAGGATCAATAGACTTCATTATTGGTGGAGAATAGCCTCTGCCTGATCTCGTGATCTGTAGCCTCCATAATCAAAAGAAAATGGCATTTCGAATAAATCGCCCGAAATCTATGATAGTACCCCTTTGGAATCTGCCAAAAATTGACCCGGAATAAATCCGCCCAATTGAGTGCTTAATGGACTCAATCATCGTCGGAGAATAGCCTGAGGCCGAATCCGTAATCTGTAGCCTTCAATATCCAAAGAAAATGGCCTTTCGTAGCCCAAGAAATTACGAAAATGCCATCCGAAAATAAATTGGCCCAAATCGATGCTTAACGGACTTATCATCCGTGGAGAATAGGATCAATAGACTTCATTATCGGTGGAGAATAGCCTCGGCCTGATTCCGTGATCTGTAGCCTCCAGAATCGAAAGAAAATGCCATTTTGAATAAATCGCCCGAAATCTGTGATGGTAGCCCTTTGGAATCTGCCAAAAATTGTCCCGGAATAAATCCGCCCAAATCGGTGCTTAATGGACTCAATCATCGTTGGAGAATAGCCTCAGGCCGAATCCGTGATCTGCAGCATTCAATATCCAATGAAAATGGCCTTTCGTCGCCCAAGAAATTACTAAAATGCAATCCGAAAATAAATTGGCCCAAATCTATGCTTAACGAACTTATCATCCGTGGAGAATAGGATCAATAGACTTCATTATTGATGGAGAATAGCCTCAGGCCGAATCCGTGATCTGTAGACTTTAATAACAAATGAAAATGGCCTTTCGTCGCCCAAGAAATTACGAAAATGCCATCCAAAAATAAATTGGCCCAAATCGATGCTTAACGGACTTATCATCCGTGGAGAATAGGATCAATAGATTTCATTATCGGTTGAGAATAGCCTCGGCCTGATTCCGGGATCTGTAGACTCCAGAATCGAAAGAAAATGGCATTTCGGATAAATCGCCAGAAACCTGTGATGGTACCCCTTTGGAATCTGCCAAAAATTGACCCGGAATAAATGTGCTCAAATCGGTGCTTAATGAACTCAATCATCGTTGGAGAATAGCTTCAGGCCGAATCCGTAATATGTAGCCTTCAAAATCCAATGAAAATGGCATTTCGTCTCCCAAGAAATTACAAAAATGCCATCCGAAAATAAATTGGCCCAAATCGATGCTTAACGGACTTATCATCCGTGGAAAATAGGATCTATAGACTTCATTATCAGTGGAAAATAGCCTCGGTCTGATTCCGTGATCTGTAGCCTCCAGAATCCAAAGAAAATGGCATTTCGGATAAATCGCCCGAAATCATGATGGTACCCCTTTGGAATCTACCAAAAACTGACCCGGCATAAATCCGCCCAATTCGGTGCTTAATGGACTCAATCATCATTGGATAATAGCCTTAGGCCGAATCTGTAATCTGTAGCCATCAATATCCAAAGAAAATGGCCTTTCGTCGCCCAAGAAATTACGAAAATGCCATCCGAAAACAAATTGGCCCAAATCGATGCTTAACGGACTTATCATCCGTGGAGAATAGGATCAATAGACTTCATTATCGGTGGAGAATAGCCTCGGCCTGATTCCGCCTCCAAAATCGAAAGAAAATGGCATTTCGGATAAATCGCCCGAAATCATGATGGTACCGCTATGGAATCTGCCAAAAATTGACCCGGCATAAATCCGCCCAATTCAATGTTTAATGGACTCAATCATCGTTGGATAATAGCCTTAGGCCGAATCCGTAATCTATAGCCATCAATATCCAAAGAAAATGGCCTTTCGTCGCCCAAGAAATTACAAAAATGCCATCCGAAAACAAATTGGCCCAAATCGATGCTTAACGGACTTATCATCCGTGGAGAATAGGATCAATAGATTTCATTATCGGTGGAGAATAGCCTCGGCCTGATTCCGTGATCTGTACCCTCCAGAATCGAAAGAAAATGGCATTTCGGATAAATCGCCCGAAATCATGATGGTACCCCTTTGGTATCTACCAAAAATTGACCCGGCATAAATCCGCCCAATTAGGTGCTTAATGGACTCAATCATCGTTGGAGAATAGCCTGAGGCCGAATCCGTAATATGTAGCCATCAATATCCAAAGAAAATGGCCTTTCGTCGCCCAAGAAATTACGAAAATGCTATCCGAAAATAAATTGGCCCGATTCGATGCTTAACGGACTTATCATCCGTGGAGAATAGGATCAATAGACTTCATTATCGGTGGAGAATAGTCTCGGCCTGATTCCGTGATCTGTAACCTCCATAATCAAAAGAAAATGGCATTTCGAATAAATCGCCCGAAATCTGTGATAGTTCCCCTTTGGAATCTGCCAAAAATTGACCCGGAATAAATCCGCCAATTCGGTGCTTAATAGATTCAATCATCGTTGGAGAATAGCCTCAGGCCGAATCCTTAATCTGTAGCCTTCAATATCCAAAGAAAATGCCCTTTCGTCGCTCAAGAAATTACGAAAATGCCATCCGAAAATAAATTGGCCCAAATCGATGCTTAACGGACTTATCATCCGTGGAGAAAAGGATCAATAGACTTCATTATCGGTGGAGAATAGCCTCGGCCTGATTCCGTGATCTATAGCCTCCAGAATCGAAAGAAAATGGCATTTCGGTAAAATCGACCGAAATCTATGATGGTACCTCTTTGGAATCTGCTAAAAAATTGACCAGGAATAAATCCGCCCAAATCGGTGCTTAATGGATACAATCATCGTTGGAGAATAGCCTCAGGCCGAATCCGTGATCTGTAGCCTTCAATTTCCAATGAAAATGGCCTTTCGTAGCCATAGAAATTACGAAAATGCCATCCGAAAATAAATTGGCCCAAGTCGATGCTTAACAGACTTTCATCCGTGGAGAATAAGATCAATAGACTTATTTATCGGTGGAGAATAGGCTCGGCCTGATTCGGTGATCTGTAGCCTCCAGAATAGAAAGAAAATGGCATTTCGGATAAATCTCCCGAAATCTTTGGAATCAGCCAAAAATTGACCCTGAACAAATCCGCCCAAATCGGTGCTTAATGGACTCAATCATCGTTGGACAATAGCCTTAGGCCGAATCTGTGATCTGTAGCATTCAATATCCAATGAAAATGGCATTTCGTCGCCAAAGAAATTACGAAAATGCCATCCGAAAATAAATTGGCCCAAATCGATGCTTAACAGACTTATCATCAATGGAGAATAGGATCAATAGACTTCATTATCGGTGGAGAATAGCCTCGGCCTGATTCCGTGATCTGTAGCCTCCAGAATCGAAAGAAAATGGCATTTCGAATAAATCGCCCGAAATCTGTGATGGTACCCCTTTGGAATATGCCAAAAATTGTCCCGGAATAAATCTGCCCAAATCGGTGCTTAATGGACTCAATCATCGTTGGAAAATAGCCTAAGGCCGAATCCGTGATCTGCAGCATTCAATATCCAATGAAAATGGCCTTTTGTCGCCCAAGAAATTACTAAAATGCAATCCGAAAATAAATTGGCCCAAATCGATGCTTAACGGACATATCATCCGTGGAGAATAGGATCAATAGACTTCATTATTGGTGGAGAATAGCCATGGCCTGATTCCGTGATCTGTAGCCTCCATAATCAAAAGAAAATGGCATTTCGAATAAATCGCCCGAAATCTGTGATAGTACCCCTTTGGAATCTGCCAAAAATTAACCCGGAATAAATTAGCCCAATTCGGTGCATAACGGACTCAATCATCGTTGGAGAATAGCCTGAGGCCGAATTCGTAATCTGTAGCCTTCAATATCCAAAGAAAATGGCTTTTCGTCGCACAAGAAATTACGAAAGTGCCATCCGAAAATAAATTGGCCCAAATCGATGCTTAACGGACTTATCATCCGTGGAGAATAAGATCAATAGACTTCATTATCGGTGGAGAATAGCCTCGGCCTGATTCCTTGATCTGTAGCCTACAGAATCGAATGAAAATGGCATTTCGGATAAATCGCCCGAAATCTGTGATGGTTCCCCTTTGGAATCTGCTAAAAATTGTCCCGGAATAAATCCGACCAAGTCGGTGCTTAATGGACTCAATCATCGTTGGAGAATAGCCTCAGGCCGAATCCGTGATATGTAGCCTTCAATATCCAATGAAAATAGCCATTCGTCGCCTAAGAAATTACGAAAATTCCATCCGAAAATAAATTGGCCCAAATCGATGCTTAACGGACTTATCATCCGTGGAGAATAGGATCAATAGACTTCATTATCTGTGGAGAATAGCCTCGGCCTGATTCCGTGATCTGTAGCCTCCAGAATCGAAAGAAAATGTCATTTCGGATAAATCGGCTGAAATCTGTGATGGTACCCCTTTGGAATCTGCCAAAAATTGACCCGGAATAACTCCGCCCAAATCGGTGCTTAATGGACTCAATCATCGTTGGAGAATAGCCTCAGGCCGAATCTGTGATCTGTAGCATTCAATATCCAATGAAAATGGCATTTCGTCGCCAAAGAAATTACAAAAATGCCATCCGAAAATAAATTGGCCCAAATCGATGCTTAACAGACTTATCATCCGTGGAGAATAGGATCAATAGACTTCATTATCGGTGGAGAATAGGCTCGGCCTGATTCCGTGATTTGTAGCCTCCAGAATCGAAAGAAAATGGCATTTCGGATAAATCGCCAGAAATCTGTGATGGTATCCCTTTGGAATCTGCCAAAAATTTACCCGGAATAAATCCTCCCAAATCGGTACTTAATGGACTCAATCATAGTTGGAGAATAGCCTAAGGCCGAATCCGTGATCTGTAGCATTCAATATCCACTGAAAATGGCCTTTCGTCGCCCAAAAAATTACTAAAATGCAATCCGAAAATAAATTGGCACAAATCGATGATTGACAGACTTATCATCTGCGGAGAATAGGATCAATAGACTTCATTATCGGTGGAGAATAGCCTCGGCCTGATTCCGTGATCTGTAGCTTCGAGAATCGAAAGAAAATGGCATTTCGGATAAATCGCCCGAAATCTGTGATGGTACCCCTTTGGAATCTGCCAAAAATTGACCCGGAATAAATCCTCCCAAATCGGTGCTTAATGGACTCAATCATCGTTGGAGAATAGCCTCAGGCCGAATACGTGATCTGTAGCCTTCAATATCCAATGAAAATGGCCTTTCGTCGCCAAAGAAATTACGAAAATGTCATCCGAAAATAATTGGCCCAAGTCGATGCTTAACGGACTTATCATCTGTGGAGAATAGGATCAATAGACTTCATTATCGGTGGAGAATAGGCTCGGCCTGATTCCGTGATCTGTAGCCTCCAGAATCGAAAGAAAATGGCATTTCGGATAAAACGCCCGAAATCTGTGATGGTACCCCTTTGGAATCTGCCAAAAATTGACCCGAAATAAATCTGCCCAAATCGGTGATTTATGGACTCAATCATCGTTGGAGAATAGCCTCAGGCCGAATCCGTGATCTGTAGCCTTCAATATCCAATCAAAATGGCCTTTCGTCGCCAAAGAAATTACGAAAATACCATACGAAAATAAATTGGCCCAAATCGATGCTTAACAAACTTATCATCCGTGGAGAATAGGATCAATAGACTTCATTATCGGTGGAGAATAGGCTCGGCCAGATATCGTGATCTGTACCCTCCAGAATCGAAAGAAAATGGCATTTCGGATAAATCGCCCGAAATCTGTGATTGTATCCCTTAGGAATCTGCCAAAAATTGACCCGAAATAAATTCGCCCAAATCGGTGCTTAATGGACTCAATCATCGTTGGAGAATGGCCTAAGGCCGAATCCGTGATCTGTAGCATTCAATATCCAAGGAAAATGGCCTTTCGTCGCCCCAGAAATTACGAAAATGCAATCCGAAAATAAATTGGCCCAAATCGATGCTTAACGGACTTATCATCTGTGGAGAATAGGATAAATAGACTTCATTATCGGTGGAGAATAGCCTCGGCCTGATTCCGTGATCTGTAGCTTCCAGAATCGAAAGAAAATGGCATTTCGGATAAATCACCCGAAATCTGTGATTGTACCCCTTTGGAATCTCCCAAAAATTGACACGGAATAAATCCGCCTAAATAGGTGCTTAATGGATACAATCATCGTTGGAGAATAGCCTCTGACCGAATCTGTGATCTATAGCCTTCAATATCCAATGAAAATGGCCTTTCGTCGCCAAAGAAATTACGAAAATTCCATCAGAAAATAAATTGGCCCAAATCGATGCTTAACGGACTTATCATCCATGGAGAATAGGATCAATAGACTTCATTATTGGGGGAGAATAGCCTCGGCCTGCTTCTGTGATCTGTAGCCTCGAGAATCGAAAGAAAATGGCATTTCGGATAAATCGCCCAAAATCTTTGATGGTACCCCTTTGGAATCTGCCAAAAATTGACCCGGAATAAATCCTCCCAAATCGGTGTTTAACGGACTCAATCATCGTTGGAGAATAGCCTCAGGCCGAATCCTTGTCTGTAGCATTCAATATTCAATGAAAATGGCCTTTCGTCGCCAAAGAAATTACGAAAATGCCATCCGAAAATATATTGGCCCAAATCGATGCTTAACGGACTTATCATTCGTGGAGAATAGCATCAATAGACTTCATTATTGGTGGAGAATACCCTCGGCCTGATTCCGTGATCTGTAGCCTCCAAAATCGAAAGAAAATGGCATTTCGAATAAATCGCCCGAACTCTGTGATGCCCTTTGGAATCTGCCAAAAATCGACCCGGAATAAATCCGCCCAATTCGGTGCTTAATGGACTCAATCATCGTTGGAGAATAGCCTCAGGCCGAATCCATAATCTGTAGCCTTCAATATCTAAAGAAAATGGCCTTTCGTCGCCCAAGAAATTACGAAAATGCCTTCCGAAAAAAAATTGGCCCAAATCGATGCTTAACAGACTTATCATCCGTGGAGAATAGGATCAATAGACTTCATTATCGGTGGAGAATAGGCTCGGCATGATTCCGTGATCTGTAGCCTCCAGAATCGAAAGAAAATGGCATTTCGGATAAATCGCCCGAAATCTGTGATGGTACCCCATTGGAATCTGCCAAAAATTGCCCCGGAATAAATCCGCAAAATTCGGTGCTTAATGTACTCAATCATCGTTGGAGAATAGCCTCAGGCCGAATCCGTAATTTGTAGCCTTCAATATCCAAAGAAAGTGGCCTTTCGTCGCCCAAGAAATTATCAAAATGCCATCCGAAAATAAATTGGCCCAAATCGATGCTTAACGGACTTATCATCCGTGGAGAATAGGATCAATAGAATTCATTATCGGTGGAGAATAGCGTCGGACTGATTCCGTGATCTGTAGCCTCCAGAATCGAAAGAAAATGTCATTTCGGATAAATCCCCCAAAATCTGTGATGTTACCCCTTTGGATTTTGCCAAAAATTGACCCGAAATAAATCTGGCCAAATCGGTGATTTATGGACTCAATCATCGTTGGAGAATAGCCTCAGGCCGAATACGTGATCTGTAGCCTTCAATATCCAATGAAAATGGCCTTTCGTCGCCAAAGAAATTACGAAAATGTCATCCGAAAATAATTGGCCCAAATCGATGCTTAACGGACTTATCATCTGTGGAGAATAGGATCAATAGACTTCATTATCGGTGGAGAATAGGCTCGGCCTGATTCCGTGATCTGTAGCCTCCAGAATCGAAAGAAAATGGCATTTCGGATAAATCGCCCGAAATCTGTGATGGTACCCCTTTGGAATCTGCCAAAAATTGACCCGAAATAAATCTGCCCAAATCGGTGATTTATGGACTCAATCATCGTTGGAGAATAGCCTCAGGCCGAATCCGTGATCTGTAGCCTTCAATATCCAATCAAAATGGCCTTTCGTCGCCAAAGAAATTACGAAAATGCCATACGAAAATAAATTGGCCCAAATCGATGCTTAACAAACTTATCATCCGTGGAGAATAGGATCAATAGACTTCATTATCGGTGGAGAATAGGCTCGGCCAGATATCGTGATCTGTACCCTCCAGAATCGAAAGAAAATGGCATTTCGGATAAATCGCCCGAAATCTGTGATTGTATCCCTTAGGAATCTGCCAAAAATTGACCCGAAATAAATTCGCCCAAATCGGTGCTTAATGGACTCAATCATCGTTGGAGAATAGCCTAAGGCCGAATCCGTGATCTGTAGCATTCAATATCCAAGGAAAATGGCCTTTCGTCGCCCCAGAAATTACGAAAATGCAATCCGAAAATAAATTGGCCCAAATCGATGCTTAACGGACTTATCATCTGTGGAGAATAGGATAAATAGACTTCATTATCGGTGGAGAATAGCCTCGGCCTGATTCCGTGATCTGTAGCTTCCAGAATCGAAAGAAAATGGCATTTCGGATAAATCACCCGAAATCTGTGATTGTACCCCTTTGGAATCTCCCAAAAATTGACACGGAATAAATCCGCCTAAATAGGTGCTTAATGGATACAATCATCGTTGGAGAATAGCCTCTGACCGAATCTGTGATCTATAGCCTTCAATATCCAATGAAAATGGCCTTTCGTCGCCAAAGAAATTACGAAAATTCCATCAGAAAATAAATTGGCCCAAATCGATGCTTAACGGACTTATCATCCATGGAGAATAGGATCAATAGACTTCATTATCGGGGGAGAATAGCCTCGGCCTGCTTCTGTGATCTGTAGCCTCGAGAATCGAAAGAAAATGGCATTTCGGATAAATCGCCCAAAATCTTTGATGGTACCCCTTTGGAATCTGCCAAAAATTGACCCGGAATAAATCCTCCCAAATCGGTGTTTAATGGACTCAATCATCTTTGGAGAATAGCCTCAGGCCGAATCCTTGTCTGTAGCATTCAATATCCAATGAAAATGGCCTTTCGTCGCCAAAGAAATTACGAAAATGCCATCCGAAAATATATTGGCCCAAATCGATGCTTAACGGACTTATCAACCGTGGAGAATAGGATCAATAGACTTCATTATCGGTGGAGAATAGCCTCGGCATGTTATTGTGATCTGTAGCCTCCAAAATCGAAAGAAAATGGCATTTCGGATAAATCGCCCAAAATCTGTGATGGTACCCCATTGGAATCTGCCAAAAATTAACCCGGAATAAATCCGCCCAAATCGGTGCTTAACGGACTCAATCATCGTTGGAGAATAGCCTCAGGAAGAATCCTTATCTGTAGCATTCAATATCCAATGAAAATGGCTTTCGTCGCCCAAGAAATTACGAAAATGCAATCCGAAAATAAATTGGCCCAAATCGTGCTTAACGGACTTATCATTCGTGGAGAATAGCATCAATAGACTTCATTATTGGTGGAGAATACCCTCGGCCTGATTCCGTGATCTGTAGCCTCCAAAATCGAAAGAAAATGGCATTTCGAATAAATCGCCCGAACTCTGTGATGCCCTTTGGAATCTGCCAAAAATCGACCCGGAATAAATCCGCCCAATTCGGTGCTTAATGGACTCAATCATCGTTGGAGAATAGCCTCAGGCCGAATCCATAATCTGTAGCCTTCAATATCTAAAGAAAATGGCCTTTCGTCGCCCAAGAAATTACGAAAATGCCTTCCGAAAAAAAATTGGCCCAAATCGATGCTTAACAGACTTATCATCCGTGGAGAATAGGATCAATAGACTTCATTATCGGTGGAGAATAGGCTCGGCATGATTCCGTGATCTGTAGCCTCCAGAATCGAAAGAAAATGGCATTTCGGATAAATCGCCCGAAATCTGTGATGGTACCCCATTGGAATCTGCCAAAAATTGCCCCGGAATAAATCCGCAAAATTCGGTGCTTAATGTACTCAATCATCGTTGGAGAATAGCCTCAGGCCGAATCCGTAATTTGTAGCCTTCAATATCCAAAGAAAGTGGCCTTTCGTCGCCCAAGAAATTATCAAAATGCCATCCGAAAATAAATTGGCCCAAATCGATGCTTAACGGACTTATCATCCGTGGAGAATAGGATCAATAGAATTCATTATCGGTGGAGAATAGCGTCGGACTGATTCCGTGATCTGTAGCCTCCAGAATCGAAAGAAAATGTCATTTCGGATAAATCCCCCAAAATCTGTGATGTTACCCCTTTGGATTTTGCCAAAAATTGACCCGAAATAAATCTGGCCAAATCGGTGATTTATGGACTCAATCATCGTTGGAGAATAGCCTCAGGCCCGATCCGTGATCTGTAGCCTTCAATATCCAAAGAAAATGGCCTTTCTCGCCCAAGAAATTATGAAAATGCCATCTGAAAATAAATTGGCCCAAATCGATGCTTAACGTACTTATCATCCGAGGAAAATAGGATCAATAGACTCCATTATCGGTGGAGAATAGCCTTGGCCTGATTCCGTGATCTGTAGCCTCCAGAATCGAAAGAAAATGTCATTTCCAATAAATCGCCCGAAATCTGTGATGATAACCCTTTGGAATCTGCCAAAAATTGCTCCGGAATAAATCCGCCCAATTCGGTGCTTAATCGTTGGAGAATAGCCTCAGGCCGAATCCGTAATCTGTAGCCTTCAATATCCAAAGAAAATGGCCTTTCGTCGCCCAAGAAATTATGAAAATGCCATCCGAAAATAAATTGGCCCAAATCGATGCTTAACGAACTTATCATCAGTGGAGAATAGGATCAATAGAATTCATTATCGGTGGAGAATAGCCTCGGCTTGATTCTGTGATCTGTAGCCTCCAGAATCGAAAGAAAATGGCATTTCGGATAAATCGCCAGATATCTGTGATGGTACCCCTTTGGAATCTGCCAAAAATTGACCCGGAATAAATCCTCCCAAATCGGTGCTTAATGGACTCAATCATCGTTGGAGAATAGCCTAAGGCCGAATCCGTGATCTGTAGCGTTCAATATCCAATGAAAATAGTCTTTTGTCACCCAAGAAATTACGAAAATGCCATCCGAAAATAAATTGGCCCAAATCGATGCTTAACGGACTTATCATCTGTGGAGAATACAATCAATAGACTTCATTATCGGTGGAGAATAGCCTCGGCCATATTCCGTGATCTGTAGCTTCCATAATAGAAAGAAAATGGCATTTCGGATAAATCGCCCGAAATCTGTGATGGTTCCCCTTTGGAATCTGCCAAAAATTGACCCGGAATAAATCCGACCAAGTCGGTGCTTAATGGACTCAATCATCGTTGGAGAATAGCCTCAGGCCGAATCCGTGATATGTAGCCTTCAATATCCAATGAAAATAGCCATTCGTCGCCCAAGAAATTACGAAAATTCCATCCGAAAATAAATTGGCCCAAATCGATGCTTAACGGACTTATCATCCGCGGAGAATAGGATCAATAGACTTCATTATATGTGGAGAATAGCCTCGGCCTGATTCCGTGATCTGTAGCCTCCAGAATCGAAAGAAAATGTCATTTTGGATAAATCGCCCGAATTTTGTGATGGTACCCCTTTGGAATTTGCCAAAAATTGACCCGAAATAAATCTGACCAAATCGGTGATTTATGGACTCAATCATCGTTGGAGAATAGCCTCAGGCCTAATCCGTGATCTGTAGCCTTCAATATCCAAAGAAAATGGCCTTTCTCGCCCAAGAAATTACGAAAATGCCATCTGAAAATAAATTGGCACAAATCGATGCTTAACGGACTTATCATCCGTGGAAAATAGGATCAATAGACTCCATTATCGGTGGAGAATAGCCTCGGCCTGATTCCGTGATCTGTAGCCTCTAGAATCGAAAGAAAATGGCATTTCCGATAAATCGCCCGAAATCTGTGATGATAACCCTTTGGAATCTGCCAAAAATTGCCCCGGAATAAATCCGCCCAATTCGGTGCTTAATGGACTCAATCATCGTTGGAGAATAACCTCAGGCCGAATCCGTAATCTGTAGCCTTCAATATCCAAAGAAAATGGCCTTTCGTCGCCCAAGAAATTATGAAAATGCCATCCGAAAATAAATTGGCCCAAATCAATGCTTAACGAACTTATCATCAGTGGAGAATAGGATCCATAGAATTCATTATCGGTGGAGAATAGCCTCGGCCTGATTCCGTGATCTGTAGCCTCCAGAATCGAAAGAAAATGGCATTTCGGATAAATCGCCAGAAATCTGTGATGGTACGTACCCCTTTGGAATCTGCCAAAAATTGACCCGGAATAAATCCTCCCAAATCGGTGCTTAATGGACTCAATCATTGTTGGAGAATAGCCTAAGGCCGAATCCGTGATCTGTAGCCTTCAATATCCAATGAAAATAGTCTTTTGTAACCCAAGAAATTACGAAAATGCCATCCGAAAATAAATTGGCCCAAATTGATGCTTAACAGACTTATCATCTGTGGAGAATAGGATCAATAGACTTCATTATCGGTGGAGAATAGCCTCGGCCTGATTCCGTGATCTGTAGCCTCCAGAATAAAAAAAAAAATTGGCATTTCGGATAAATCGCCCGAAATCTGTGATGGCCCCTTTGTAATCTGCCAAAAATTGACCTGGAATAAATCCGCCCAAATCGGTGCTTAATGGACTCAATCATCGTTGGAGAATAGCCTCAGGCCGAATCCGTGATCTGTAGCCTTCAATATCCAATTAAATGGCCTTTCGTCGCCCAAGAAATTACGAAAATGCCATCCAAAAATAAATTAGCCCAAATCGATGCTTAACGGACTTATCATCCGTGGAGAATAGGATCAATAAACTTCATTATCGGTGGAGATTAGCCTCGGCCTGATTCCGTGATCGGTAGCCTCCATAATAGAAAGAAAGAAAATGGCATTTCGGATAAATCGCCCGATATCTGTGATGGTTCCCCTTTGGAATCTGCCAAAAATTGACCCGGAATAAATCCGACCAAATCGGTGCTTAATGGGCTTAATCATCGTTGGAGAATAGCCTCAGGTCGAATCCGTGATATGTAGCCTTCAATATCCAATGAAAATAGCCATTCGTCGCCCAAGAAATTACGAAAATTCCGTCCGAAAATAAATTGGCCCAAATCGATGCTTAACGGACTTATCATCCGTGAAGAATAGGATCAATAGACTTCATTATCGGTAGAGAATAGCCTCGGCAAGATTCTGTGATCCATAGCCTACAGAATCGAAAGAAAATGGCATTTCGGATAAATCGCCCGAAATCTGTGATGGTACCACTTTGGAATCTGCCAAAAATTGACCCGGAATAAATTCGCCCAAATCGATGCTTAATGGACTCAATCATCGTTGGAGAATAGCCTCAGGCCGAAATCGTGATCTGTAGCCTTCAATATCCAACGAAAATGGCCTTTCGTCACCCAAGAAATTACGACAATGCCATCCGAAAATAAATTTGCCCAAATTGATGCTTAACGGACTTATCATCCGTGGAGAATAGGATCAATAGACTTCATTATCTGTGGAGAATAGCCTCGGCCTGATTCCGTGATCTGTAGCCTCCAGAATCGAAAGAAAATGTCATTTCGGATAAATCGGCTGAAATCTGTGATGGTACCCCTTTGGAATCTGCCAAAAATTGACCCGGAATAAATCCGCCCAAATCTGTGCTTAATGGACTCAATCATCGTTGGAGAATAGCCTCAGGCCGAATCCGTGATCTGTAGCCTTCAATATGCAAAGAAAATGGCCTTTCGTCGCCCAAGAAATTACGAAAATGCCATCTGAAAATAAATTGGCCCAAATCGATGGTTAACGGACTTATCATCCGTGGATAATAGGATCAATAGACTTCATTATAGGTGGAGAATAGCCTCGGCCCGATTCCGTGATCTGGAGCTCCAGAATCAAAAGAAAATGGCATTTCCGATAAATAGCCCGAAATCTGTGATGGTACCCCTTTGGAATATGCCCAAAATTGACCCGGAAAAAATCCGCCCAAATCGGTGCTTAATGGACTCAATCATCGTTGGAGAATAGCCTCAGGCCGAATCCGTAATCTATAGCCTTCAATATCCAAAGAAAATGGCCTTTCGTCGCCCAAGAAATTACGAAAATGCCATCCGAAAATAAATTTGCCCAAACCGATGCTTAATGGACTCATCATCCATGGAGAATAGGATCAATAGACTTCATTATCGGTGGAGAATAGCCTCGGCCTGATTTCGTGATCCGTAGCCTCCGGAATTGAAAGAAAATGACATTTCGGATAAATCACCCGAAATCTGTAATGGTACCCCTTTGGAATCTGCCAAAAATTGACCCGGAATAAATCCACCCAAAGCAGTGCTTAATGGATCGACCTGTCCCGAACCTGTCCCATTGCCATTCCTACTGCGTTTCATTGCACTCAACCAGTTCTTCTCTTCCTTCTTTGTAAATCAAAAGTTCCCTGCAAATCAAAATAGACTTTATACCATAACATGAAGAAGTTAATTTTGTATCACAAATAATTTTTTTTTATACCAAAACATCGATTCTATAAAGTAGAGTATCATAAAATTCCTCATGTCCTCCCTATAGGCTATAACCACTTGTCTCTTTGGGAGTTGTCTTTTCTAGGTAGAGTAATCATAAAAGGCTGGCTTTAAAATCTACGTAATTAAAAAAGATAATTGATAACCTAATCATTTATTTGAGAGAAGATAGTAGTTTGCCTTTGAGTTCCTGAGCATAACCAATTATTATGAAGTGCTTATAACTCATCGAACCCTTCTGTCCTGTCGCCTCCGGCGATGACTGTCACTCCCCAAGGGCGGCCGCCGGATCCCCCGATCCCAACGGAAGCTATGCTGAGCGAAGGAAAGAGGCTGGTGGACATACCGGAATCGCCTACGCGGATGGATGTCGAGGGTGTTGTAGTGCAATCAGGGACGCCGACACCCATCGTTTCTACGCAGCCAGGCAAGGAAACTACAGAGATATTCCCATCGCTCGGGAACACAACCGCGCGGCCCCTGATCTCTTATGCTACCGCGGCGACAAGTAACTCTAGCCCGCAGCAACCCCCGAAGCCGCGGTGGATACTTGTGGGAGAACATGACTTGGTACCAGGGACATTCAACGGTGAGCCGGAACTCAGAGTCTCCGACTCCCTCAGGAATAAACTCAGTGCCCCTTGGCAACGAACTCTGGTGGTTAGGCTGCTGGGGCGCTCAATTGGGTACTCGATTCTGTGCAGCAGGCTCAAGGCTCTCTGGAAACCAACCAGCGAGATGGAAATTTTTGCTCTGGATGATGATTGTTTCTTGGTCAAGCTTGGGAATGATAAGGACTATTTCAGTGCTCTGTCGGATGGTCCATGGGTTATATTTGATCATTACTTAGTGGTACAGCAATGGACTCCTTCCTTCAGGGTGACCGATAAGCTTCCGAATACCATGGTCTTGTGCGTTCAGTTTCCGGGTCTTCCCGTCCATTTCTATCACCAGGAGCTTCTCTTTGCGCTTGGCAATATGATCGGGAGAGCTATAAAGCTCGATTACCACACTCAACATCAGCAGCGTGCCAAATTTTCCAGAATGGCCGTGGAGGTCGATCTCTCGAAACCATTGGTTCCAAGAATTAGGCTCGACGGCAGATGGCAGAAGGTGGAATTCGAGAATATTCCGGTTGTGTGCTTTGAATGTGGCAAGGTCGGACACACCAAGATCACCTGCCCTTTAATTTGCCAGAATCGCTCAGATGCTGAAGGTCAAGGAAGACTGCCATCTCCGATTTCCGACGCCGGCGTGGAGGTTTCCGGGGATGTGGCTGGATTTGGACCGTGGATGCTCGTCACGCGGAAGTCTCGCCGTAATCAAAGGGAAGGGACCGGCCATGGTAACTCTGATCTCAAATCCCCAGCCTACAACGGGCACAAGGCCGGGAACTCGGGGAAAGGAGACGAAGACGGAAAGGAAAGTCTCGAGAACCCTCCTAAAATGCAGAATGGGAAATTGGGGAAAGCGGTGGGAAGCTCGGCTGGGAAGAAAGAAGACGTGAAGAAAGGAAAGGCCCCCATCGTCAATAGTGTTGAAACCACAGAGAAAGGGGTGTTAGGCCCAAGACCCAACGCAGGTGACCAGGCCTCTCGGTCCACTAAGCCCAAAAACGATCTCGAGGCCTCTACCTCAGCCACGGAAGGTCCACAGAAAGGAAGGTCAAACAAGTGGGTGGCTTCCAAAACCCACGATGGGCCTTCCTCAGTATCCTCACCCTCTGGATCGGCCCAAAACGCTCAGGGAGAGTCTGAGACACGCATCCGGATCGTGGAGACGATGCCATACCCTTCTCCTCCGCCGCGAATCGTCGACCCTGCAGCTCCTTCGGCCAACATTCTCACCAAGCACAAAAAAGGAAAAAAGAAAGGAATGGGCAGCGACAGGTCGGTTACACCACATGGTACCCCGATTCGCCATAATCCTTCAAAGGCGCTACAAGTTTGGTCGCCGGTTAAGGAAAAGAAAGTGAAAAGCAGAGAACGACGCGTCTCTCTAACTCTCCAACAAATTCAGGAGTGGACGAATGCAGTGATTCCTCGGGACGAAGCAGGGAGAACTGCGGCGGTTCTGTCGAACATGGCGATTCAGGGTGATGGGTCGGATAAGGCGGCCGCGGGGACAGCTACAGCCTCCGATCTCTGCTGACTTCTTCTATCAGCCTTATTTCTTCCCCTCCCCTTCTTTTCTTTTTGCTTATTATCATGTCTAGCTCTAATTATCCTTAATTCAAAATTCTGTCGTGGAACGTTGGTGGTGCTGGGGGCAGGTCGTTCTTACCTCTCTCCGGCTTGCAATTCAGCTCCACCGGCCTAACTTTGTTATGTTGTTGAAACCGCAGGTCAGTGGCTCGGTTGCTGATTCGGTCTGCGAGAAGCTTGGATTCCCCGACGTTGCTCGTGTTGAGGCCACAGGCCGGAGCGGGGGTATCTGGGCATTCTGGAATGCTCAGCAGTTCGATGTTCAGATTCACTCAGCGGGAGATCAACACCTTACTTTAGCCATTTGCCAGAACAATTTGCCGAGTTGGTTTTTGACTGCAGTCTATGCGTCTCCCCGGCAACACTCCCAAAGCTTGCTCTGGAACAGTTTGGTTGAAGAAAGCAGGAATATCACTCGTCCCTGGATCCTAACTGGGGATTTCAATGCTATCTATCTCCGGACGAAAGGAGCGGTCCTTGTACACCAGCTGTTCTCCGCAGATGCAGAAGATTTAGCCAATGGATTAACCAGGCAGAGCTTGTAGATTTGGGCTTTTCCGGCCCTCGTTTCACCTGGTCAAGGGGCTCACAAGCTTCCACGTTCAAAGCGAGCAGACTAGACCGTAGCCTGTGCAATCTGAGCTGGAACGAAATGTTCCCTGACACCACAGTCCTCCATCTTACTCGTGTGGGATCTGATCACCACCCAATCCTCACTTCTGTTGTCCATCAGGGAGTCTCACAACCTTCTTCTAAACCATTTAAGTTTGAAGCAGCTTGGATTACGCATGAAAACTTTCACAATTTTTTAGCTGAATCCTGGAACTCACAGGCTGCTCTCCCTCTTGCTTTACAGGAGCTGGCTTCCAAGCTACAAGGGTGGAATAATGAAGTTTTTGGTAATATAGCTCAAAGAAAAAGGAGACTGCTGGCTCGCATTAGTGGTGTGGAGAAACGTTTGGCTGATGGTTTCTCTCCTGGCCTAGCTAAGCTCCACTCCACGCTGGCAACGGAATTAGACAAAGTCTTGGCGCAGGAAGAACTGTTGTGGTTCTAGAGATCTCGGGAGAACTGGGTCAAATTCGGGGAGAGGAATACTTCATACTTTCACCAGTTAGCCAAAATCCGAAGAAGGGCCAACAGGATTTCTTGCCTGAAGGATGAGAACGGGGAATGGGTGACGGACAGACAGCAGTTAGTCTCCATGGTCTTCAATTTTTACTCTAATCTGTATCTGCAAGATGGGACTACTTACAATGATTTGATGCCTCGAGGAGCCTTCCCTCACCTCAGCCCTGAGGATCTTAATCAGCTTCTCCGGCCCTTCACTATTCAAGATGTCCATCGGGCGGTTTTTGATATGAAACCCTTTCAGGCCCCGGGCCCGGATGGCTTTCAGGCTATTTTCTACCAGCACTCTTGGAAGACTGTGGGGAAATCTCTTAATGACATGGCCATCTCGTTTTTTGAGGAAGGCGAGCTCCCAGAGGAGATGTTTGCATCTACGGTGGTTCTCATCCCCAAAATTGAGAATCCCGAGACTGTTGGGCAACTCAGGCCGATCTCCCTCAACAATGTCAGTCTCAAGGCCATCACTAAAGCTATGACTAGCAGATTGAAGACGGTTATGAGTTCTCTGGTCTCCCCTCGACAGAGTAGCTTTATTCCTGGCCGGCAGACGACAGATAATATGCTTATTGTCCAGGAATTTCTCCACTCTATGCGGAAGAGAAAAGGCAAGAAAGGAGGGCTGATTATGAAAATTGATCTTGAGAAGGCTTATGACAGGCTCAGGTGGGACTTTCTTCGGGATACTCTCATTGAAGTTGGTCTTCCGAGCTCTTGGATCGCTGCATCATGTACTGTGTCGAGAAGAATGCTATGCGTATCCTCTGGAAGGGAGAGCTATTAGAGCCCATTTCCCCGACCCGAGGAGTTAGACAGGGAGATCCCCTCTCACCCTATCTTTTTGTTTTATGTATGGAGCGCCTCTCTCATAGAATAGACCGGGCGGTCCAGGATAAGGTGTGGAAACCTGTTAGATTGTCGGCTGGGGGCCCGGCTCTAACTCACCTCTTTTTTGCAGATGATCTCATTCTGTTTGCAGAGGCTGAGGGCTCTCAGGTCCGGATTATCAAGGAATGCTTGGACGACTTTTGTGCTAGCTCTGGCCAAAGAGTGAATTTCAGCAAGTCCCTGCTCTATGTCTCACCAAATATCAGTCCACATCGAGCGCAACGTCTGAGCGACAGAGCTGGCATTCCGTTGACTCTCAATCTGGGGCGCTACCTAGGTTTGCAAGCTATCCATGGGAGGATCACCAAGAGCAGATACCAGCCCCTTATTCTCCAAATTCAGAAGAAGCTTGCTCCTTGGAAAGCTAGGCGTCTTTCCCTTGCTGCGAGGCTAACGGTGGCGCGATCTGTGTCTCTTGCTATCCCTACTTACCCTATGCAGACGGAGCTCATCCCTATGAATGTTTGTAAATCTATTGATAAGATTAACAGGGATTTCATATGGGGAGAGGGGGAGCAACAAGGAAGAATGCATTTGGTGGCCTGGGAGAAGCTAACCGAGCCAAAGAGTCAAGAGGGGCTGGACTTCGACCTCTGAGACAAGCTAATTTGGCTCTCCTGGCTAAAGGGGGCTGACGGTTGATGCATGAGAAGGACTCCCTCTGGACACAACTCTTTCGGGCCAAGTATGGGTGCCAAAGGGAAGGACTTGATCTTTTTCGCCCGAGTCAGGGAAGTTCCTTTGCCTGGAGAAGCTTTACTAAAGCTTCGAGTTTACTGCAGCAAGGCTATGGGTGGAATATTCACAGCGGGAAAGATACTAATTTTTGGCGTGATATTTGGCTTATGCAGGTCCCGCTCGTGGAGATGGCCCTTCAGCCGGTGCCGAGTGATATGATGTTGGACTCTGTTGCGGACTACCTTGGAGAGGACGGATTGTGGGATGTGGATCGGTTGGCCTCTTGGCTGCCAGCGGAGGTTCTGCAGAAGATGACCGCGGTGGCTGTGGACCCCCTCTCCACCAAGAAGGACAGGATCTTCTGGACGGGATCCTCCAACGTGCGCTTCTCAACAAAATCAGCCTACCTGTTGGCGAATCCGCCTCATCACGATCCCCGGCACCTGATGTGGAAGAAAATTTGGCGGCTCCCGGTTCCGGAAAGAGTCCGGTGTTTCGCCTGGTTGGTCTGCCTGGGCAAGATTGCTACAAACCAACTCAGGTTCTCTAGAAAGTGCGCTCCATCCTCCTCCTGCTACCCCTGTGAAGATGCTGCCGAGACCATTTGCCATGTCCTCCGTGATTGCCCGCCTGCTGTGTTCTTTTGGAGTAGACACGTGCCGGCGGCCGACCAACAAGCCTTCTTCTCAGCTTCTACAGGAAACTGGCTGCAGAAGAACCTTCTCAAGGAGGAGGTCATGGTGGCAGAGGTTAGTTGGAATGCTTTCTTCAGCATAGCGATTTGGTGCTTGTGGAAGAACAGGTGCACGGGCTGCTTCAAAGGGGTTACAGCCACTCTGTCTGCCCCGTCCCTGAGCCACTCAATCATGCATAGAGTCAACCTGTGGCACAAGGCTTGGAGTGCCCCTTCAATCGTGCCAGGTAAGCCTCGGATGATCCAAGAAGAGAGGGTAGAGAGCATTGGGTGGCTTGCCCCCCCAAGGGGATGGATGAAGCTCAATGTTGATGGGGCTTCGGCGGGAAATCCCGGGATTGCAGGGGCTGGCGGATTGATTAGAGATGACCAGGGCCGATGGATAGCGGGTTTTGTGGCTAAGATTGGAGAGACCTCGGCGGCTCTTGCTGAGCTGTGGGCAATTCGGCATGGCCTGGACATTGCCTGGCGCCGCAGGTGCACGAGCTTGATTGTTGAATCGGATTCCCAGCTGGCTATCCAGTTGATTAAGGATCGGCAGGATCCCATTCACCCGTACGCCGGCATTTTGATGTCGATTCGACGGCTCTTGAGTCAGGATTGGCTGGTCAATATTGTTCACACATACCGGGAGGGGAATAGAGCCGCGGACTGGCTCTCGAAGCACAGTCTCGTCTATCCCTACGGTGTGAGAGAACTTTTTGACCCGCCAAGGGACTTGTGTCGGGTTCTTCAGGAGGATAATCAGGGAGTTTCTTTTGAGCGCCGGATTGTGGTGCAAAGAGATAGATAGCTCCTCTTCTCTGTTTTTTCCCTCCCCCCCCCCCCCCCCCCCCCCCCCCCCCCCTGTTTTTCTGTTTTCCTTCTTGGCCTTGGCCTCCCTTAATGCAAAAAAAAAAAAATTGCAAAGCAAAAATCTAGGATACATCTAATTTAAAAGACCAAAATGGTTCGATTGTCTTTGCTCGGGACTCCTGATTGATTATATTGATGATCCATCAATAGAGGAATTATTAGTCCTGCGCGAGGCCATCCGGTGGTGTTTGAAACTTTGGATGGTGGTCTCTCGCAGGTTCGATTGGGAGGGGACGCAACAATGGTCATTGATAAGGTCAATCAGCTTCTTAAGTATGATAATCTCTTTGAAGTTATTCTGGAGGAAGTTTTTTCCAAACTTGGGAAATAACTACAATATTATGCACTTTTGGGAATTGTTTTCCAAATACATTAATTGTTGTAAAATCCAGGAAATAAGGACATTTTATGCTTTTAACCAAACGTGGGTTATCTTTATCAGAATACTTTCATTCGATTGAAAATGTTAATGTCTCTGTCATTAATAAAAAAGAAATTATACATGCATCAAAGTGAAAAAGAAGAACCAAAAGACAGGCAAATGCATTGCACCGTGGTAAAATTAAACGGTAACTTACTCAGCAACCTATAAAATTAATTTAAATCAAAACTTGCTTGGATCACACCCAGTCGAACACTATTTATTTATTCAATGGGGGAAAAAAAGAACACAATTTATTTGCGTTTCACAATGGGAATCATCACGCACTTGAAAAAGCTAGTGGTTCCCCATTCAATGATTTATTATTATGTTTATATTCGGTAAATCACGTATACCTGTAAAACAAAATAAATGTATATAGTCGTATTGTCTCTAACTAAAATTTCTAACAATCATCCAAAATATCACACAAACGAAAACATACGAATAGATTATCATCATGTAATGACCCAAACACATAACTACTACAGTATTACTATCATGAGTGTAGGATCCACAAATATTACTAATCACAATAACCATTGACACTTTTTTTTTTTTTCAGAATTTAGAACTTCAAATGTAGTCACGCCAACGTACCGATCACGATTATTCGTCCAACTAGATAAATCAACTCATACTTTCTTTTGGAGGAATCAGACCTAACAATTTGCTTCTGATTAAATAACAAGACATTTTACAAGCAGAAGTTAAAACTATTAAACTTCTAAAGTAAAAGGATCATCTATCTTACCATTGCATTCTTTAAAACCTGTAAGATATTATGATATCTAACTAAATTAGTCTCATTTTGTAAGTTGGATTGATTCCTTATGAGGTGGAAAAGTAAGGAAATCTCTCCATATAGATAGAAAATAGAGTCAACATGAATTTGTTTGGAAAGAGATCCATTCCATGGAGTGAATTTCTCTCTTTTCCCAACAATACACTCAACCAAATTTCCCCATTTCTCCAATAAAAATATTAATCGAAAATGGGATATAAAACAAAGAGTCGATTTTGAGCCCTATGCTTACTACAATCTCTTGGATCCTCAAATTTGTCCCAATTTTCCCCTACAAACAAATCCCTAATCTCCTCGCCTAATTCTATATAATTACAATCTATCCACAGCTAAACCCACCAAGAATCCCCCACTAATCAGCTCGTCCGTCGTCACTCTGCCCCCCGCCGTCGCAAAAAAGTTGATGAAGTCGGATTCCAAATTAATCGCCGCCGGTGCAGAGAACCTGCAGGAGCCGCCGTGGCACCAGAAAGCGGGCGGCGGCGGGAACGGGACGAAATCGGCGGTGGTAACATGCTCCGTCTCCAAATTAACCTTCTTCTCCCTCTTCTTCCTAATCTCACTCCCTTACTTCTTCTACTCCCTCCGCTTCCCCAATTACTGCAACCTCGCCTCCATCCACCTCCCCTCCGCCGTCAACAACGACTCCACGGCGGCGGCGGAAGCAAAAACGTCACTCCGCCACATAGTGTTCGGAATCGCCGCCTCCGCCCGGCTGTGGGACCGGCGGAAGGAGTACATCAAGCTGTGGTACCGCCCGGAGACGATGCGGGGCGTCGTCTGGATGGACAAGGCTCCGCCGCGACCGGCGGCAGCGGACGACCGCCGCCGTCTGCCGCCGATCAGAATCTCCGGCGACACGTCGGGGTTCGAGTACAGGCACGCGAAGGGGGACAGGTCGGCGATCCGGATATCGAGGGCGGTGTCGGAGACGCTGCGGCTGGGGATGAAGGACGTGCGGTGGTTCGTGATGGGGGACGACGACACCGTTTTCGTGGCGGAGAATTTGGCCGGTGTTCTGGCCAAGTACGACCACAGGGAGTGCTATTACATCGGGAGCAATTCGGAGAGCCATCTGCAGAACGTCATGTTCTCGTACGCGATGGCGTACGGCGGCGGGGGTTTTGCGATCAGCTACCCGCTGGCGGTGAAGCTGGCGGCGATGCAGGACCGGTGCCTGGGGAGGTATCCGGCGTTGTACGGCTCCGATGATCGGATTCAGGCTTGTATGGCGGAGATTGGGGTTCCTCTCACCAAGGAGCCGGGTTTCCATCAGGTTAGTGCCCGCCCGGTCCACCTCACTTTTTTTTTTCCAACGTAAGTTAGGAAATTCTAAATTTTTTATTTGGATGATGGAATTGGACGAAGAAATTTTTGATTCAGTTGTCTCAAAATAAAATAATTGGATCAATTTCATAAATTCATCATCTAAAAAGACTCCTGAAATTTCCTTATACGAGATCTGTCACAACATTTTTTGATGAGGAATTGTAACGGATCAAATTGCCTCGTTTGCCAGTAAAAAAAAAATTCGGATGGATCAATATGGCCTGAGGTATTTTGAATCGATCCGCGTTTTGAGTCAATTTCAATTACCTGGAGTGGGGGCAGGTAATTCCAATCGACTCGTTTTAATTGCATCGTTTATAAAACGAGACAATTGATCAAATTGACTCATTTTTAGATTGATTCATCCAAACGACCCCAGGTTCTTTTCGATTACATACGTCATTGATTGATCACATAATTTTATCAATTAAATCATATGATCTCATTAATCATGCCTCAATACATATATAATAGGTAACATTTTTTTTAATGTAAATATAACTACTAATGCCATTCATTCACTGCCCGTTGCCAACAGTTGGACGTGTACGGGAACGCGTTCGGCCTCCTGGCAGCCCACCCAGTAACGCCGTTACTCTCCCTCCACCACATCGACGTCATCGACCCGATCTTCCCCAAAGCCAGCCGCCTCCAGTCCCTCCACCGCCTCGCGCTCCCGATGTCGCTGGACCCCGCGGCCCTCATGCAGCAGTCCATCTGCTACGACAGCAGACGGCGCTGGACGGTCTCCGTCTCGTGGGGCTACGCCGTCCAGATCGTGCGTGGCACCGTCTCCCCGCGGGAGATGGAGATGCCCGTCCGCACCTTCGTCAACTGGCACAAGAAAGCCGACTACAGGGGCTACGCCTTCAACACCCGGGCCGTCCACCCCAACTCGTGTCAGACGCCGTTTGTGTATACGTTGTCGCCGTCGCCGTCGAATAATGATAGCGTGGTGTACAGCTCGACGACGGGGGAGACGACGAGCCGGTACGTCCGTTCACGGGGAGAGAATCCCAAGTGCAAGAGCTGGAAGGTTGAGGATCCGTCCGGGGTCGACCGGGTCGAGGTTCATAAGAGGCCCGACCCAAACTTCTGGGACAAGGTAAACCGATCCTAACCGGTTTAAGTTTGGTTCAAATTTTTTTTTTTTCTCGTGGAGCATACGATATACTCATTGAATTAAACAGGGTTTAGAGTATGATAATGTCGTCTGATCTCTGATTGTCCGAGTTTAATAACCCAAATTCGAAATTCAATTTGATAGAAAATTATAATTGATTGTGAAAATTGGTTGAACCTTATCGAAGTACATTTAACGGATAGATCACCTAAAGCGTGAGTGTACCGGGGGCAGGGGAGGCTATAACCCCTCTCAACTCACCATGTAATTTTGTAATAAATATATGAAATATAGTAGTTGGTAAAATTTTAACCACTATTTGTCGATTCGAATATCACGAATTCAGATTTCTAACTCGAATGCGTGTGCTACATTTGATGGAATACTATGCAGGCACCAAGGAGAAACTGTTGCAGAGTACTGCCCTCCAAGAAGAGAAGAACGATGGTGATTGATGTGGGGGAGTGTAGAGCAAATGAAGTTGTGGAATTGCGATGATAATTTTTTTTTTTACTGAAATCAGTTAGAAAATAAGAAGTATAGAAGAAGAAGAAAGAAAAGAAAGAAAAAAAAGAACCAACTACTGTTTTGTAGTGATCAATTGATTTTTTATTAGCTTAAGAAAATTGATTGTTTATTAGTTCAATTTTTATACGGTGGAGCTGTGGAAGAACCGGAAGATGCTTGGCTTGTGAATACGAGGGACGAGAAAGAGGAGAAGAGAAGATAAGGGTTGGAAGAGATTAGACTAATTCTTCTGTAAGATGTTTCCTAGCTCATATGCAAACACATAGCTCCGGTTGGAAAAATGACAAATTCCCCAATTTTAGGAATCAAATTCGAATTGAAAGATGAACAATTCGACTCCATTTGGTCCGAGAGTTGGTTCTAGACTAAGACTGCAAATTTCCTAATTTGATTTCGTTGAAATTTTCTAATTTCAGGAACCAAAGTCGTATCGAAAGATGAATGGTTCAATTTGATTTAAGAATTGATTCGATCTGATTCTATCCCGTACAGACCGAATCGTAGCTCATCGATAATGCAAACTCCTTAGTCCCTACGCTGTCTTTACCTTTTAATTAGGGTAATGTCTATTTTGTAACCAAAACCTTTTTCAAATTCTTTTATATTACCCAAACCTATCGAAGTACTAAGAATTAGCCAAATGTTAACTTTCAGTCAGCAATTTTGTTAGTGATATTGACTTGGCAAGATGATATTGACTTGGAAGAGACAGATGATGGTCAACATTCCAAAACTTTAGCATTTTAACTAAGAAAAGAGTTATAAAATTATTAACGATAACATAAAAATGGTTAATATTTTTTATGTTTTATGAAATATTTGGCTAATTAATAGAATTTTAATAGGTTTGAATAATATAAAAGAATCTGAAAAAAAGTTTGGATAAAAAATAGACCTTGTCCATTTAATTAAATGTAATTTTCTGAATTTCTATCCATAATTTTTTTATAAATTTTCTGACTCCATAATAATTTCCACCTCCAGGAATCTATTGGCTGGCTGGCAACTGATGTGGGGCCCAGAGCCTAACGCGCAGAGAGAGATAGAGACGCGCATCGAAACGATTCAACTCTACTAACTACAGCTTGGCCAGTTCGAAAGACCCGCGTGGACTCTGCACCCAACAAAACTTCCCTTTCTCGTCTTTCCCCTCCCATTCCCCATAGCTCTCTCTCGTCTCTTCGCCATGGGAACTCCGCTTTTGTTCCTCCTCGCCTTCTCTTTCTCCTTCTTCTCCGCCCTCTCTCTCTCACCTTTCTCCCCCGTCGACAACCATCTCATCAATTGCGGCTCCGCCGTCGACGCCGCCGTCGACGGCCGCCGTTTCGTCTCCGATTTCCACTCCTCCAATCCCGGCACTCCGCTCCAATCCTCCGCTCTCACGACGGCGCTGTGCAACGGATCCCCCCGATCCAGCTCGCCCCAAATCTATCACACGGCTCGTGTTTTCAGGAAACCCTCCAGATACTCGGTCGAGATCAAGGAGCCCGGAACTCACATGGTACGCCTCCATTTCGACCCTTTCGTTTCCTCCAATTTCGATCTGAGAGAGGCCCGATTCCACGTCCTGGTTGGCAATTACGTTGCCCTGAGCAACTTCACTGTATCAGACACTCTGGTGAAGGAGTATTTGGTCTGGGTTAGTCGGAACAAGCTTGTTATCACGATTGTTCCAACCCTGAAGGGTAAATTAGGGTTCGTGAATGCAATTGAGGTACTTTCTGCACCCAAGGATCTGATTCCGGACACGGCTACCCTCGTGAGGGATGGCGAGACTCGGAAATTCGAGAGTTTGAGCAAGCAAGGGCTGGAAACTGTGCACAGGGTTAATGTTGGAGGTCCAAAAGTGACCCCATTTAATGATTCAGTGTGGAGAACATGGATTCCTGATGATGGGTTCTTCAAATCAAGTGACCTTTCAAGCAAGGTTCATTTCAGTGGGCGGATTAACTACCAGGTTGGAGGTGCTAGCCGGGAAGTTTGTCCCGATTTCGTCTACAACTCTGCTAGAGTGATAGCTAGCAAGAGTAGTTCAATTCCTGAGGCAAATATGACTTGGGTGTTTCAAGTGACAGGAGGTCATAGGTATCTTGTGAGGCTGCATTTCTGTGATATCGCTAGCCTGTCTCTTGGTTCGCTCTACTTTAATGTCTACATCAATGAGCAATTGGCTTCCAAGGATGTTGACCTCTCCTCGATTGCATATGAGCTGGCCTCTCCATATTATGCTGATTTTGTGGTTGAAAGTGATAACCTGGGAGCTATAAGTGTGGTTATAGGGCGTTCTAACTTGAGCATGGCTTACGCTGTGGATGGCATTCTGAATGGCGTTGAGATCATGAAGATGAACAACTCAATGGCTAGTTTTGATGGAAAGATGTGCAGAGGTATGGCCTTGAAGAACTGGCCTAGAGGGAATTCTGGTGGCCTGATCACTTTGGTTGTTGTGTTATGCCTCCTGCTTCTTAGTGTTTCTATGCTGATGAGGAGGAAGATAGTGCGAGTGAAGGACTCGTTTTCATGGACTAAACTGCCTACTGAAGTCTCAGAGGTGAATCTGAAGGTTGGAATCCAGTCCTCGCTTGGTGGTAAGTTCTGATTTCCTTTAATGAGCAAACCTAGTTCTCATGTATGCGGCAGATTTAGCTCGTAATGGTTTGGGCCAATCTGTTCTTTTTTCCCCCCTTGCTTCTCAATATAGTATAGAAGAGAGGATGCTGAAATCTATTTATAGAAGCCATCGCATTGTGTGAGTCATATGTAAACGTCTAATATGTAAGTAGCTTACTTGCGAAATACATTACCTGTCAGTTGTGTGAATCGTTATGTAAACGTGTAATATGTAAGTAACTTGTACTTGTTGAGAAATTCTGAGTCGTTTTCCTTTCCGGCTACTCTTTTGTGACTGCAATTGCTGCGATCACTTGGCTCCCTGTTTGTTGATTAATAGTGCTAGTAGTGTGGTGGAACTGGCAGGGGCGGATACATGGAGGTTCGGGACACCCCTAAAATTTGGAAAAACGATTATCCAACTTTCGATAGTAGTTTGTGTATGGGTAAAAAAAAATTAGCGTTACTTTGACACCCTTAAAATATGGAAAATGATTATTCAACCTCCTATAGTATTCTGCATATGAGTACAAATAATATTTAAGTGATAGTGTCTATGTGATTTGAACTTGGAAACACTGCTACTATTAGTAAATATAGTTTCAATTAGACTACAACTCATTTGGAGTTATGTTTTAGATCAAAATACAATAGTAAAAGGCTATTCTTATCCCCAATTTTTTTTCAAAACCTAACGATTAAACCCAATTACGGGCTACCCTTGTCTAGTAGGATATGTCACGAGAGATTTGTTGAGCAGTGTATACACCGAATGTATTTTATCATTCTTTCACAATACAGAACATGTTTGAACTTTTATTCTAACTTTTACTAGTTGAATATTTTCATATTTAATAATTATTTGATTTAATTTTAAATTATAATGACTGTTTTTAAGAGGATACCCCTATTTAAAATTTCTGAATCCGCCACTGGGAACTGGTGCTGGGCCTCGTTTTCACCGTGGCTTTCATGGACGGAGCTTCTTATAATTTGAGGCCAACATTTTCGAGCATCAGCCACGAGAGCTTTGTCTCTGTTGCTTACGGCTTGTTCCGGAGTTTGTTCCAAGTATCAGGGTTTGGCTTCTATGTTAATGCATTTCTTTATAGTAGTTAAATTAAAAAGGTTTAATTTAGCTGGTATTGTTTCTTCTGTAGTGGTATAACAACAAAATTTCATTTCGTGGAAAATGTTAAAAACTAGAGAAACAATACTCACGTGCTGAACAAAGCTGGGGAGAACAATGCCCTATATCAAAGATGAAAGAAAGCTGAAAAGAGCCTTCCTTCCTCCTACTGGGAGACCTAAGTGTGGAGGGGAGGCAATTAGGGGTGGACATCGGTTCGGTTTTGATTTAACCGAATATATCTCATATCTTTGACTGATTTCGAACATAATAATATTTCCAAAATCACATATGGTTGTCGTCGCTGCTTGGAGGAGGGGATGGAGTAATCAAGCCAAGTAGAAGTTTTGCTTCTTGGCGACGACGAGTATTAGATATGGCCATCTCAGTACCAAAGGGCATGAGTGTTAGATCTGGCGGTTGCGATGGATACTAGAAATCGCAACCGCCAGTTTGAAGAGAGGATGGGCGATGGTTAAACTGGTTGGCTGCTGCTTGGGGAGAGGAGTTTCGAGATGCGACTCGATCATTCGAAAGACCAACAACACAGAGAGGCAAGGAGAGATGACATGTAGAATGTGGAGAGGTGAGATAGAGCTTATGGATTTCATTTGAGGCTAGTGGGTGGGGTGAGTCTTTAGTGGTTAGGTCTGGGCTTGCAGGATGGGTCATGACCCATGGAGCTTGGGGACGTTGGGCCTTGGAGTGGGTAGTTTGATGGCTCGTTTGAATATCCATTGGTCTGGCTGGAAGCCTTCAAAATCAAATTGCATTCGTCATGTTATAATTTGTTTCTTATTTTGTAATGAAAAATGAATATATTCATTGTTTTATCTTTAAATTCCATACCAATATGGATCGACTTGTCCCGACCAACGCCCTAACATAAATTACTCAACCTAGACCTGACTTGCCATGGGTTAGGTTATATGTATCGAAATATCCACTCCGATTGCCCGATTGCCCCATTGTCATTCCTAATTGCCATTACTACTTGTAGAGCACAACAAAGTTGCTCTTTTACATGATTTTATTTGCGGAATCCGAGTTAAATGAATGAGCTACAGTTCGTCTAAAATATGTATTATGCTGGGAAAAAAGTTCGTAACTATCGTCTGCGAATACTCTTGAACTCATTTTCAGTTTCTAAAAAACATGTTAGCTATCTAAAATTCTCTAAATTTCCTCCTTAATCCTTATAATAGTGACCATTACATCTAGTTGTGGCACATACAGGCGCGAGGCCTCTCATCCCTAGGTCATGTCACAACCCTCTTCTGTGTTCAGAACTAGTATAGCAAGAAAAAAAAAAGATATGCTCGCTTCTAGCCCTCTCCGCCTCTTTCGATCCAGTGCTAGTTGCTATTTAAACCGGGTTTGTTTCTAATTTTGTTGACAATTTTTTTTTTTCCAACAAAAGATAACGCCCACATAAGCCATCGCACACGCATTTTCCACCCTCCGGCCACACTTGGGCACCACAGAAATGAGCCTCCGCCACAAGCTTCCCCTCATTTCTATACCCAACACCTCTCCTCAATTTCCTCCGCCCGCCCATTATCTATCTATATTCTCTCAGCCTCTAATATATATATATATATATATATATGTCACAGTACTCGCATTCCTCTACTCTGTAACTAGCACCACCCAAAGTTGCAACCAAACCAAAGCGTGCATGAACCTTGCCACTCCACTCCCACTGTGCTATGCTCAAAGTAAACGCTCCCAATTTCTACGTACCCAACCTTTCCTTCCTTCCTTCCTTTCTCATTCTCCCTCCACCTATATTTGATATTAAAGTTAACGGAAAGGGAAAATATATACTATATATACAAATTAATTAAAGAGGAAAGAATGTTTGATATAAAGATGGCGTCACCAACATTCCTTTTGCCCAAGCCAAGCCCATGCCTCCCCTCTCCTCCTACTCTCTCTATAGTCTATATCGTATCATTAGGGTTGGCTAGCTATTTGGTCCGGATTGTTTGGTTTTACCCGAAACCGGACCGGGACCGGACTGGGACCAGATAACAAACAATCCAATCTCATATTCGGGCTTAGATTTGAGGTAAAAACCCGGATAAGAGACCCCCAACACCTAAAATCAAGATCAAATTGGCACCGGACCGGGTCAAAACCGGACTATATCCAATCCAATCTTTGGTCCTTATATTCTCGAAAAGACCGGACTGGGACCAGATCAATTTGATCCAATTTAACCGGACCGTATAGCCACCCTATCAATCATGCTGCTGCATGCTTTCTCTTTTTTCTGTTATTTCCCCCCTTACTTACCGGAACTCATTTTATATTCTTTCTCTCTCTCTCCCTCTCTCTATATATACCTAAAAGCTCTCCTCTTAGATTTTTCATCCCATCCATCTCTTCCCTCCAGAATCAAAATAACACCTAACCCCATCAATCTCCTATAGCAAAGAGAGCTAGATATAGTTAACAACAATGGCTTCTTCGTCCTCTTCTTCTGATTTGAGAAAACTGATTAGGGTGTTGATCGTCGGAGTGCTGCTGGGTTACGCAATGATGTGGGTTCTGTTGCCCACCAACACTTACAAGCACAAATGGCTTCCCAAGCTCAAATCCCGCCTCTCCTCCAACTACTTCGGCAACCAAGGTACGTACAAATTGCGACTCTCTCTCTCTCTATATATATAGTCATGTATTTAAAATTCGATTTGATGGATCTGACGTGGCAGGGGTGATGATGCTGATATTCACGTTCCCGCCACTGCTGGTCGCCGTTCTGAGCTGCGTCTATCTCCATCTCGCCGCCGAGCTACAACCCACGGGGAAAAAGAGCAGCGGCGACGACGAGGAGAAAGAGACACGTGTGCTCGCCACGTGGCGGAAGCCCATGGTGGTGCGAGGCCCGCTGGGGATCGTGACCGGGATCGAGCTGGGCTTCCTGGTCATGTTCGTGGTGCTCCTCTTCTGGTCGCTCTTCACTTACTTCAGCTCCAGCTTCAAGTCCATCGACGCCACCGATCCCGCCTTCCTCGGCGGCCTCAAAAAGTAAATTAAAGCCCATTCCTGTTTTTGGTATATAAAAAAAATCAATGCGTAATATAGATAAGAATCCAGAATCAAAACGTAACATCGATTAAATCGACTCTAATTACTACCAACCAAATTAAGGGGGGACAAATCACAGTATCTCTGTCTAGAAAGGGAAGAATATATATATATATACAGTACTAACCGATTCATTAAAAAATGGGGTTAAATTAGGTGGCAGTTGAAGCTGGACCTGGGTGGGCTGTGGCTTGGGCTGGTGGGGAACATATGCCTGACGCTCCTCTTCTTCCCGGTGGCGCGTGGGTCGGCGGTGCTGCAATTCTTCGGCCTGACGTCGGAAGGGAGCATCAAGTACCACATATGGCTCGGCCACGCAGTCATGACCTTCTTCACCGCTCATGGCATCTGCTACATCGTCTACTGGGCTCTCATGGGCCAGATGTCGCAGGTAATTGCTACTTTAGTTTTTCTTTTAAAAAAAAAAATTCACATACTTCTATCACATTAATATTCAAATGTTAGATTGAGTCGGACGAAAAGAAAAATAGAAAAATAAGCACATTTCGCAAACCAAGGAAAAAAAAAATGACACAATTTGACCTCCGATTCGGTACCTTATAACGGTCGATCCGGTAAGTGTGTGCGGCCCATTTTTCTCACCGGACTAAGGTCAAAGTGAGTCGACCCGCGAGTTGACAACCTTTAATATATACATATATAGTGGTCACGTTATCCAACAGTCATAAAAAGTGCGATCTGGGCCCATCCAATTTTCGTTGATCTCTCCTTTTGCCCTAGTTTTCTGCATAATTCCCTCTCATTGGGCCCCGCAACAAGTTCTTAATGGATATGTATATGGGCCGTTGACTGGTTTCTTGGCTTAGGAGTCATGTGGACAGTTCCTTTTCTTCCTATTTGTTAGTGGGAGAGGGTTCAGGTGGGACCCCCTTTTTATTTCGTGTACGTACACGGTATATATGCTTGCTCCATTTCCCAAAAGTTAAATCAATGCAGTTGCGCCTGCGCAACCACATTTTTTTAAAATGTTTTCGAAAGAAGAAGAAAAAAAAAAAATCCATTGAATCAGATAATATTATTAGTACAATATTATGCGCTTTAACTCAAATCCAAATCATTTGAGTTTGTCCGTAACCAAAAACATATTTAACTGCATGCAGATGCTGAAATGGAGCCGAAGCGAGATATCCAACGTGGCGGGCGAGATCTCGCTGCTCGCCGGGCTCGGGCTGTGGGCCACCACATTCCCCCGCATAAGGCGGAAGATGTTCGAGCTCTTCTTCTACACCCATCACCTCTACATCCCGTTCGTCGTCTTCTTCGTCTTCCACGTCGGATTCACCTACGCCTGCTACATGCTCCCTGGGTTCTACCTCTTCCTCGTCGACCGCTACCTCCGCTTCCTCCAGTCCCGCCACCACGTCCGCCTGCTCTCCGCCCGCATCTTGCCCGGCGCCGGCCAGACCCTGGAGCTCAGCTTCTCCAAGTCACCGGCGCTGAAGTACAACCCGACGAGCGTGCTGTTTCTGAACGTGCCGGGGATATCGAAGCTGCAATGGCACCCGTTCACCGTAACGTCCAACAGCAGCCTGGAGGCGGACAAGCTGAGCGTTGTCATTAAAGGGGAAGGGAAGTGGACGAAGAAGCTGTACGAGATGGTTTCTTCAACTAGTGGAAGTACTGATCATCACTTTGATGTGTCCGTTGAAGGTCCTTATGGCCCTGCTTCCACTGATTTTCTCAGGTATATATACTTCATTGTTCATGTTTACGTTTGTTTTTCTGTTAGCTCGCGCGCTAAAGAGGTAAGTACGGCTGAGAAAACAGACAGAATCGTTCAAAAAAATTGTGCGTGGACTGAATCGTATAGCTAGTCTGGCGAAGAGGTTAGACCGTTGAAAATGATTTTATATTGTCTGTGGTGTATATAATAGGATATGTATTGATTTCTTGATCTGGTCTGATCTAGGCTGCGATTTAACGAATCAAACTGTGAACTCGACCGTACTTCTCAATTGTGCGTTAGCAGTTCACTCGACCACTCTCCTAAATTTTCAACGAGAGACTAAAGTCGCTCAACCCATTAATTTTGCGAGTCTCATCGGTCCTTCATTTGTAAACCACACATCCACGCTGGGTAAAGAAACTGGGCTCTCTCTCTATATGTCATTTTGATTTAATGTTTATGACGGCATTATGGTGTAAATTGAGTTGCTTTGTCTTTGTGTTTTTTGTTATTTACTTAGACTTATATGGTGTCAAAATCATGCATGCAGCGCGTGTTAGAATTTCCGCTTTAAGGAGGGAAAATTCTCTGTTATTGACTAAACAAATTTAATATTTTTTTTTTTTTTTTTTACTTAACGTATGCTCTGCACGGTCTAGATTATACCGAACCTGACCACACAACCATGATCTGATTTAATGGTATTTGGTATATGGTCTATACTCTCATGCTTCTCAATCTGAATCAGGCACGAGACACTGGTGATGATAAGTGGAGGCAGCGGGATCACCCCATTCATCTCCATAATCCGAGACCTCATCTTCACATCCTCACACCTCCAACTCAAAACCCCACGCGTCATCCTCATCTCCTCCTTCAAAACCACCGCCGACCTCACAATGCTCCACCTCCTCCTCCCCATCTCCGCCGCCGCCGCCTCCTCCTCCACCGCCAACCTCCGCCTCACCATCGAAGCCTACATCACCCGAGAGAAACAGGCGGCGGCAACCTCCCCCTTCCACAACAACAACAACGTTCGGACCAAGTGGTTCAAGCCTTCCCCGACCCACGCGCCCATCTCCCCGATCCTGGGCCCCACCGCCAGCTGGCTCTGGCTCGCCGCCGTCGTCTCGTCCTCCTTCCTCGCGTTCCTCGTCATCATCGGGCTCCTCACTGGCTACTACATCTACCCTCAGGGCAAGAAGTCCGGGGAAGTAGGGTTTCCCATGGCGTTGACCGCTTTTCTCTACATGCTTGTGTTGTGCGTGTGTGTAGCTGCGGCGAGCAGCGGTGCGTTCCTCTGGAACAAGAGGAAGAGCGGGAGGGATCAGACCATCCAGATAAGGAACGTGGAAGGCGCCACCCCGACCGGCGGGTCTCCGGCGAGCTTCGGTGCTGTCCATGAGATGACGGAGTTGGAGAGTCTTCCTTTGCAGACTTTCGCGGAGGCCACGAATTTGCACTACGGGGTTCGACCTAACTTGAGGAGTAAGTAATCTGTCTCATTGTTCTTTTGACTATGGGAAAATTACAAATTTGTCAAAAAAGTGTTTTTTTTTTTTATCGTGGTTTGACCGTTTTGTTTGGATCATAGAATTGCTGGTGGAGCATTGTAGCGAAGGAGGGAGCATAGGGGTAATGGTGAGCGGGCCGGCGGGGCTGAGGCATGAGGTTGCTACGATATGCTCGAGCGGACTGGCCGACGACAATTTGCAGTTCGAGTCCATTAGTTTTAGCTGGTGAAAAAACGTACGTTCATACTGATTGTCAAAAGGTTTCAGCTAAATGGATGTCTAGCTACTTTTCCTAGCTAGTAATGTGAGTGAACAAGGAGAGCTATATAGCCACGAGTGGATGTGTTTGATAGCTTGAAACACCACTTGGTTCATAATAACGAGAATGGAAATGTGTTTGTAATACTTTTGTGTGTGTGTGTTTTTGTCCCCATTACCACACTTTGTGTATGTTGTACTATGAATAATAATCAATGTCGTGTTACATGATCTATTTAAATCCTTCAATGTATGGAAAATAAAAATAAAAATTTCATTTGGTTTTTCTTTTGTTTTTCTGCTTTTCTTTTGCTATTGTTTATTTACATTTCTTTTCCTATTGTAAAACATTGTATAAGGGTGATAAAATCAGGTTGGGAAGTTATAACTATATTTTTATAATAATCTCTTAGATTCTAAATGTTTTCATGTCAAATTCACCGTAGATTTCCCACTTTTGGTCGATTTTATGCTAAGTGTCTTTGTGTTGCCCATTTCCGAGATTTAGCACATTTTCGGAATAGTTGGGGCTTGGGTGAGTCGATTTCGAGCATAAAATAGAGGGCAAAAGCAAGAAAAAGGGTTTCACTACCAACAGTAGCGTATCACTAGCGTGATCAAACATCGTGAAAAGGAGGATCTGAATTTTACGCGCATGATTTTGACATTATTGTCATTGAAAGCTCTCCCCAAATGTCACTTTTGGGACCGTAGGTATCACAGCGAGGACTAGAGCTCTAGTGGCCCATGAGACTAGGTGTGAGACATTTCACGACTAGGAGAAGAAGTAGTTCAGGGGCAAAGTTACGTTAGTCGCGAAACACTTCGACAAGGCTACGACGTTTCATATGTCACAAGCACAACATTCAATTTCACGACTGTGAAATATGGTCGTGATATGATGTCTGCTCACCGATATATAAGAAGTGTGTAAAGGTTTTGAATATAGGAGACACTTATGGAGAGAGAAACTAGAGTGTAGCTTGCTCTTTGTAAGAGACATTGCGGCGGCTATGGCTGCCTTGAATTCAATTTGTATATGCAGATCTGAGATATAATGACAGGCTGAAATACAACCGTGTTTCAGGAATACAAAGATTTATTAGAGGTTGATTGTGAACGGACTAGAGATTATTTCAGCTTCTCAGAAACTATGTTTGTACAACATGAGATGTAAAGTAAAAAGACAACAATATACTTATACACAGATGCCAAAGCTACGAGAGCACAAGACCAATCGGCCAAAAAAAGAAGAATCAAAGACTGGAAAATTTAGGAGGAAGGATTCCAACAGAAGATTATAAGTCGCTTTTAGTATCTACACGAAATATAATTGCCTGCATGGTAAGGTAAGAATAGATCTAGAGAGTAGTCCTCTGAGAACGCAACCTCTCATCTCTCCCTTCATCTTTGTTTTCCAACTCATCCACCAAACAGAGCCACGTTGAAAATGCTGCTTGTCAGTTCATCTCGTCATATGCGTTCTGGATTCGAGGATGAAGATAGCCGTTCTTCCAATGCTTGAACAAGGTCGTTGTACTCGGCAAATGTGGGGTGTGACTGAAGTAATATGCAAGAGGATCACAGAGCTCAAAGTCAGCTTTCAGGACATCTGATGTTTGGTGGTATAGACAGAATAAGCTATAAGCAGATCAGTTACTAATGTCACCGATTACCTGAAGAGTGATGCTATATGCTTTCCATAATCGTGCATCATGCTCGAAAAGATCAAAAAGTACCTGCACAAGAACCATCGAAGAACAAACCCCAAACCAGTCAATTATAGTTTACATTATATTCTTCCTAACCTAATGCAGTGAGACATCAGAAGAGTATACCTCTGATCGTCTTAAAAGGGTGGCCAAAACAACTATCCATTCCTTGAACTTGACAGAACACATGTGAGCCAATAGAAACTCTGCATCTAACCGGCTCTGAAGTGTACCCATTTGAAGCTGCAGTCATTAATTCGAGGTCACAAAAGGAAGAAGAAAGCAAATGCCAAATTGATTAATTAGCAAATGACTCCAAGCAAGTAAGCACTGAAATTTTGCCTGCCCCAGGCTATTTGGGGTGGGTAAATGGGAAAGGATACGACTATTTCTACTTCCTTGCCCACCCCATTCTTAACCCATTCTGTTCTAGATTTTCTCCAGTATTTACTCAAAAATACTCCTATTTAATCTCCAATCATGTTTCAACTCTTTCTTAGTTACCAGCCACCACTTAGTGAAGCCTTCATCTCTCAGATCGTTCCAATTTTTTTTTTTTATATTTCTTAGATGCGAACTGACTAGTTGCATCTATCTTCTTCAAGTTACATATCCAATGTCTCAACCAGCCATGACTCGTGCCAAACAATCCAAGCTCGCCCGTGCCAGTAAAGGGCCGAATATGGGCATCGAGGTCCCCATCTCGACCCATCCTTTGGCCATTTCTAGCACCTAGCAAGCAGCAGCATTCGCACTGCCAACAACGTTTTGTGGAAAAAGGGAGAAAAATGTTGATAATGATTAACTTATCATACCTTCTGTCCAATTAGTTCCAACCCTGACGCAAAATTCTCCAATCGAGCTGAGCCATATCGCTCTCTTTGCAAATATTCCTGCAATCACGTCACAAATTCTCTATATTACAATTCGTGAATGGTTAACCCATATTTTCGAAGTATATATAGCAAGTGCCATGAAACTCTTTCTTACCACTAAATCAAATTGAGTGCCTTTTACAAAAGCAACCAGCTTGGAAAGCTCCTTTCCAGACATCAGATAGCTAGCATGGCTCTCTAAGATGTTCTTGACTGAGGCAATATGAGCATTCTGCTCTTTGTATGAGGTGCTGCATAAGTGGAAAGAGTTGGTTGATGACCCGTCATAGAAGTTTTGGATCAGGCCATAAAAAAAATCAAGTTTCTCAGTGTAAAACCTCTTATCCAAAGACGACTTCTTGTAACTGGAGCGGAACAAGAAATAGCCCAAGAATCTAGGAGATGACGGCTTGTCTGAATCTGGTGATGTTGGCTCATAATCCTTTCCAGATCTCAGCAAGAATCGCACCTACGAACCAAAAAAGAATGGTGACATTGGATTCAACAGCGATTGAAGGGGAAAAAAGCATTGATATATCATCTCCTCAACCGTACCAGCTCCCCTGCAAGCTCATATAAGGATTCATCAAGTGTAGCCTGCAAAAGTAGTATATCCCCATCAGATCAACTTCCAATGCCTTATCTGGGGCCTGAAGAATTAATTGACTTTGTTTGGGAGGGTGAATTATACAAAGTAATCTTAGCTACCTGTAGCAAACGTAAAGCACAGTACTGACTGACAGCAGGGCCTTCCAGTTTGGCGATCACCTGCAAATTCAACACATCATATCAGGCAATGTCACCAGTAACACATTCCTAATTCAGAAATGCGAGAACAATGACTGCCCATATTCCTCATAAGAAACCATAGGCATACTAAGAAGTGGAAACACATAAAAATGGATACACAAAGCAGAGAAAATAAATCATATTTGAGAAGTTAAGTCGTATTTCAACAGAAATTTTGAGATCCTCACCAGTATGTAGCATGCCGCAGTGCGATACCATCTACGCTGAAAGCATTCTTCAAACAACCTAACATGTCGGAATGGTATCAAACAATTGAGTACATAAAAGCTTCTGCTCTTTGCTTTCTTTTCCCCCAGGATGAGCACATGGAGAAGGGGAAGGAAGAAGGAATCTACATTTGTATTCTAGGACCAGCATGGACAACATTCGATGTAGGAGAAGCCAGCTTTTGACTGACGAGCCGACATCAACACGAATACATGGCAACACGTGCAATGAAGACGCACCAAGGGCAGCACGGATTACATGCTTATTAAGATGTTATAAACAAAAACATTTTCTCATTGTCCCTATAATAGGAAATGCTGCCTATGTAACAATGAAATACTTTTGAAAATGGAAAGGATTATAGCTATTTCTTGAATTTTTTAAATAGTACCATCAGGCTCTAAAGGACTTGATAGATGAAGAATGATGCCCCTCAAACAATGACCAGCCCTAGATTATTCTTGAATATGTTATCCTTAAAGATAAAAGAACATACTCTGTTGATCTTCCAGCAGCAGTGAACAAATCAGCCCAGTGTCGACCATCAGTTTTTCTTGCAACACTTACTACCACATCAAGGTACTCTGGGAAGTTTCTAATCAGATCACAGGTTTTGTCCAAAAGAGAATGACTGCCCGCGTGTCTGGGAACCGATAACTGGTTCTTATTCAAATGTTTCCTGCACCAAATATTGTAAATATGCCAGCATTTAGGTTGATATTTGCTTAATTTTACCGAATAGACACTGCATTGACCTAATATTAAGCATCTGTTCTGAGAAAAATGAAGAAAGCTGGTTATCAAGGACTTTAGAATTCGAGATTCAAGTATTAGACCAATACTGAGGTCATTGATGCTGGGGAGCTGGATCTTACAATACAAGATAAACAAAGAGAGAGGAAAGGGCAGGGGATGCAGACAGAATATAATGCGATGGAATAAGATCCCTCTTCCTACGGAAAGAAAAAATAGTACTCCCAAGAAAGATTTCAAAGGAGTGTGCCACAGAAGGCTTGTATCCAACCAATGACACTTCCTCTGAGGATCTGCTTATTTTAGGTATGACAGAAATTTCTCTCCTCTAGCTCCAACAAAGATGTACCTTGAAATCTCAGCGTCAAATACTGTAAAGAGAAGCCACTCTAGACAGTGAGAGAAATGAGGCTTTTCCGCTGATAAGTGAGCTAACCGTAGAGCTTCTTCACTTTTGTTCCTCTGACAAAGAAGAAACCATAAACAATTAGAACTTCACTAACAATTCTCTTCTCTTATGATATTTATAGTTTTTGAAGAGAGTGTAGAACTCTTCTTCTTTTGAGTATGGTAGTTTACTTGCTTATTTGAAAAGACAACTATGATTCCTGGCAGATCTCGCCCATTTAAAACCATGATCAACTTAAGAAGTGGCAGCTAGAAGGAAAGTGATACCTGAAGCAGGTGTCTCAGTAAGCAGTGTAATATTGTTTGGGCTTGAGGAGAAGGCTCAAAGCAAGGGAATTCAGTGCATGCTGAGAATGACATTCTCTGCGAGACACCAACAACAACGCCAACATTGGGAAGAAGCCCCAAAGGATAAACTTCACGATCAAACTCCAACTCTGGATCCAACTGAAGGAAACGTGTTATCAGTACATGACAGAAATTAAAGCCAAAACCTTAAAAAGTAAAACTGTGACACCTTAATCAAAATTGAAACTACAGTCAGATTTACCACATAACACAATTAAGCAACTGTTTTGCTTAACTCAATACAGCTTAGGGTTCCAAGGAAGGTGGTGGCCGATTTACATATATTATAACTTAATACAGCTTAGGTTTCTGTGAAAAGAAAATATGAATCAAGAAAATACCTGCAAGAAGTCCTCCTGTTTGAAAGGGTCAGCTCCAGAAGATGGATACCAGACCTGTAAAAGTAAGCTTCCAATAAACATTTACTTCAGAAAGAAAGAGACGCTAAGCAAAATCAAGCACTAAGTCCACGAAACTTGAAGAGACAGCAAAGGCAGATGCTTGATTTACCTGCATTCCTCTATGACCATAATCCAACCAAGATACTTCCTCAATTAGATTTGTCTTCTCTTCTGATTGACCACAAGTAACCCAAAACAGTTCAACTGAGTCTGTCAGTTCCCTTTCACGTCCATCATCTAAATCCAGAAGAGAAAGCTCCCCGTTCGCTCTCAGTATCAGACATCTATAAAAGCAAAGGACACTCAGCAGAATGGACAAATGGAATTCCGAGCAATCGCAGCACAGACAAATACCTTGCAGGTTCTCTAGCTTCGACATCTGAAGTAGATGAAACGTGATTGTTTAATGCACTCTCTCTAGGGATCTGATCAGGGATAAAGCGCATTGCTGCAGGATGGCTCTTCGCTGTCATAATTGAGAGTTCCCGTACTGTAGAAAGCTGTTTGTCATTTTATCACTTAAATTGCATGACAGATGCAATGAATCAAGCGGCCTCATTGAAAGTCCAAGTTTCAAGACGATAACTCCTAATAAGGATAAGACCCAAATTTACAAAGAAAGTAGCTGGAAAGATTATTTACCTCTAGATCTGGAGTATTTGATGGTGTTAGTTCACCAAATATCCGCACATGAAATATGTGGACATCAAACGGGCGATAAGTAACAAGTATATAATCTCCATAAACATCCATCACCATAGGCTTGGCGAGCAATGGTTTCCGGCAGAGCAAGGAACTCTGGTCAAGGTGATACCTTGGGTAGAAGAGCAGTTCATAACTGCACCAGTTCAATGACAAGACCATCAGCACAATCTATCGTTAAATTAGCAACAAACAGAAAGGAAACAAGATATTGAGAGACAAGTCAGAAGGAGATTCATCAGACGAGGATAAATGTCATGGCTCAATTGTATTAAGTTGAACCCATCAAAGAACAACATATCAGATTTTTCAAACTTCTATGATCTGTTGATCCAGTATGTTTTGGTGAAAGAAGCTCTCAGAAGATTGACACTGACAATGAACACACCCTTTTCTGGACCTGTGACAATTTAATTGACTAACAAGGGATGAATTTAGCTTCAACTGTGTGCCCCCACAGTCTTTGTTCTCATGTTGATCGTGTAGTATTGTACAATAGGTCAATAGATGAAAACTTCACCATCATGACTTCTGACTTGACCTCTGACCACTAACCGTATCAACTCAGCCACCCTCTATCATTTTTTCTTGTCCTGCCAACTAATCAATCATGTGAAATGAAAAACTGCAGCAATGTGGCGAGCCCAATACTTCAGTACCAGGAAAAAGATAAGTGCCACAACTTTCTCGCCATCAACTACAATAATTCACCAAGCTCTAAAATTCACTGGTAAAAGATCTTACAACGCTACAAATATACTAAACAGCCTCTAAAGTTCTATCCAGTTTTCTTTTGGTCATGAAAACACCAGTAACTCCACAACTGAGTTCTGGGACCTCACATCCACCAACCTTCAAGTATTGGGTCTCCTTTTTCATCACATATGAGTGCAAGAAGCCAAAGTAAGAAGCCTGGCAGGAAAAAATGCTTCAGTTATGCAGATAGACTTTTCAAATCACTTACGTATCAGAAGAATCAATATAGTTGCATACAACCACAATCTTTCCAAGCCATAATAGACCCTTGCATTGAATCTTCTGTTCCTGACTGATATCCCCAAACACTCTCCACTTTTTCAACCTTATATCATACAAGATCAACCCATGTAGACCAGCAACAGCCAAGTACATTCCATCCTTGCTAGCAGCCACATGCTGAACTGGCCAATTTTGAGAGATATAAGAGACCTGTATAAAGCAGTACAGGTCAGCGTTAAGAAATTAAAAACAAATGCATATATATGTTACTATTCAGATGAGATGTTTTAAACCGTAACTGGAAGGTTCAAATGCAATATCTTAAGTTCATCAGTATCTTCAGACTGCACCACAAGCAACCGATCATCACCATAAATGACTTGGCGAACATATGTCATGCCGGACACCCCCCTGCTTAGGCAGCATTTGCCAAAAGAAAATGCTATAATTCTTTCAAGAGACCCTTCCTCTGTTGCATACAGTCGATACCCATATTCATCCCACTGTAACTTTGAGGTGCCGCCCATCAATGGCTCATATTTACATTCCGGGTTTGATTTAACTACTGGGGATGATACACTACTCAATCCAATTTGACGAACCGTTGACATTAAACGACAACCAGAGACAGACCAAACTGCAAGTCCCCTTAATTTCCATCCAACTGCAAAAGCGGAATTATCAGGTGTCCAGGCAATACAACTGACTGGTCCAGTTTGATCCACCGAATACCTGCAAAATCATTTTCCCAATGCAAAATAGCATTCTAGAATCAAATCAAGTACTAGAAACAAGTGATCATCTAAGAGCTTAGATCAATATACGTAAGGTGAGAAAAACATGGATATCTCACCAAAAAGGTACCAGCTAGACTTACCCCCAGTCGTACAAAGACACAGTACGAATCAGTGAGGAGTTAGTCAGATCATACAATTCAATAGCACCTCTTCTATTACCAACGGCAAGAATTTGCTGATCTGACGCTACTGAAATGCAAATGGCATCGCCAGAGCCTAATGTTTTCTCTGATTTAATAAAGTCAACTTGCTTGAGCCCTTTCTTACTCACAGAGCATTGACACAGTTGCCCATCAGAATACAAGACGATTAACAACCTCATTGGCAAGCAAAGTTCCAGTGTCGTAATGGCAGACTTCCTGGCATGGTTGCTGACAAGACCTCCAGGTTCCCCAGCCAAAGCGATGCCATTCCCCGTTGGATTAGATGAATGGGAAATTTTGCCAGCATGACCTTGATAGGGATCAAGATCAAACGCCCCATAAAACTGTTGAACAATTACATGGCATCAGAAAAGAGGTTGCTGTATTTTCCGTTGACAGAGTTCGAATAACTAGAGACAACTCTAAGGAATGGCTGGGAAATAATCATTCCTTCCCAGTATCTTATATTACCTCTGCCTTCCAGGACATACTATACAAAGAACCATTGGAAAGTCCAAGCAGCATACATTTACTATCCGTCACGATGTTACTCCTGGTGATGAGAGGAATGTAAGAATGAGAACCCAAACTCACAAAATAAAGAAGTAAACCCATATGTGAAATAGGAGGAGAATAGGATAAACAGAAAATCCTGCACTGGCACAAAGGAGAAAGAGTAGTAGCTATGCAACTTACACTGTCAAATCCTTTTCCGCGAAAGGCACCTGCTCACTGAGTAGAAGAGATATATTAGCCAGGAACAACCCTGGTGGCTGCTTCCCTCCAACGTGTAATCTTTTCTCTGTAAATTGGACCTTGAATATATGAAGAAAGAAAGATGAAGTCTGCAACAAAAGAAATGCAAAGGAAGGAACAAATTTCAACTCACAGCCTGAGGAATGAAAATGAAGATTCAGCGGATGTCTTTGCAATATGAGAATTCATTTCAGAAATGCTCTAATGTGAATTACAAACCCCAAAATTTGGATCGTGAGCCTGCATGTAGCATAGTAATGAACCAAAAAGAAATGGGGATTCCATTCTCACGAAGCAGAACAATTTACGATGATAAATTTCAGCTCTCTTCTGACAAGCATAACTTGTAATCTATAAGATTATTCTCAAGAACACAGACCAGCAAAGACAAAGATTAACAAACATGTCACCAATTCTTGACAGGATCCTGCCTGCACAAATGTTGTCAAACTAGACTAGGATCCCTCCTAAACACAAGCTCTGAAGGAAGACAAGAAGAATGCTACTACTCTACACAAGTTGGACTGAGCCTCAGTCTAAAAATCTGACTGCGTACAGCAACTAACCAACTTTGATACAAGAGTAATGAAGACACTACTAGTCCATTGTACTAGCAAAAATTAGTGATCAAATGGATATTCCAATTCAGGAGAAACCAAGAAATTGGAGATAAGGAAGCCATGAACGTACAAGAATGGCGATCAATTTGGAATCGGGACTCCACACAGCTTGCAAATTCTCCCCTTCCTTTTCCACCGACATGGCATCCCTCTTGTACTTGGCCAACCTCACTTTACGCTGTGCGATCAACAATGTCAAACACGTTCAAAACCCCCAAAATTCAAAGAAAGATACAAACACCGAATTTGCAAACAACACACACACAAAGGACAGGCACACCACGAACCTGAGAGGAGCTCCAGAGCTCGAGGTGAGAAGGAGAGACGACGAGCAAGAGACGGTTGATGATTCTGAGATAGATGATCCGCTGCGTGGAAGGGCAAGATCCTTGGTCCAGAGGGATGACCTGCGGCCACCCGTACGCCATATACATCTTTCGCTGAAGGAGTGAGCCTATCAACCGAATCGGGAATGGAGATGTGATCTGAAGGCTGAAGGAGGAGCTAGGACTGGAGCGAGAGAGATCCGAAGCATTTGTCCTCACTCGCTCTCGAATTGGAGGAGAAAGAAAGATTGATGATACTGTCTCAGGACTAGCGGCCCAGGTGCGCCATTTTTCCCCAGGTGGTAGATCTCAGCGCAGCAGCAAAATACAAAAAAAAAAATTACGAATAAAAAGTGTCTTGCTTTGTCAGTTTGGCTTTCCTTTCCGCCCGCTTCTTGATTTCCATGTGTAGATCTGAATTCTGAAGCATTTCCAATGCCGTCCCTTTCCGGCCGGGATGAGGTGGGTAAAAAGTAAAAACTAAAAAGATGATCAAGGTGAATTTTCTTTTTTTACGTGGAGAAAAAAAAAAGAGCAAAGAGATAGTTTTTGACAAAATCAATTGAATATTAATTTTTTCATTTAATTAAATAATAATTCAATTGTTGTTATCATAGCTAAGAATAATTAATTATTTCAATTTTTTGTTATGACAAAAAATATTTACAAATAGTTTTATTATTAATATAACAAAGAAAATCATACATCATTGGTAAATTTAGATTACTCTCAACAACATATTAAAAACATATTTGAACCATATCACATGGATTCATAAAAGTGTATGTTTTTTTCCGATCTAAATGAAACGGATTTTCCATGAATAACACTTGATTTTGGCTCAGCATGTTATATTCGATACGGGTAAGAAAAGATCCGTAGAATGGACGAATTCCTTTTCTTAGGAACACATACAAGATTCATCACTCCAAAAAGGATAACCACCGCTCACTATTTCAATTATTAACTATTTCAAATTTAAAGCAACATACACCAAACTTCAAAAGATTGCGGGTCGGGGGTATAGAAGTCATTGTATGGGCTATAGTCCCCCCAAAATTGGGCTTGGATCGACTTGGTACGTAGTTATGATTTAATCTTTTTTGTATTTGGTACCATACTTTTGTACGAAGTGTTGAATTGAGAAAAATCATTATTCATTATGTCTTGTTCATGCTTATTATTTTCCATTGCTTCTCTCACCCTCTCATGCTCTTCCCTAACGATCATCAATCTTGTGTGAGTTGTCGAAGAAACCGTCATGAGATCATACTCTTTGAGAAATCCGACATTGAAGAATCCACAATTTTTTTTTTTTTTGCGCTTATCTCGACTTTCGAGATGATTGATGATATAAAGAGTCGTTGTTGTATGTTCGGGATGTTACATTCCCTTTTCGATTTCTTTATCATTCCCCCTTCTTGTGAAGCCAAAATAAGTAGGGATGATAGTTCAGTTATTTCGGTTATAATCGGTAACCGATCGGCCGATTAGCGGTTAACCTTTCTTTTATCATTCCCCCTTCTTGTTTGTTTGTCTCCTTTTTTGGGGAATGGTAAAGCTGGAGACGCGGGGGAAGAAGCGAGCTAGAGAACATGTAATAACATAATAAATACTAATACAAGAATGAAAGAAACACGACCATCAACTCCATGGAAATCTCAACGGAAATCCAGAAGAACCTTACTTTTCCCTTCATCTCTCTTTATATATATATAAACAAATATCTCCATTTTTCTTTTCTAACTGACTCTTCCTGAACAAAAATTTCTTCATCAAGAAATTCCCACTAAAAAAAAAGATGGGGTTTCCAGTTGGGTACACAGAGATATTCATGCCAAAGATTTTTGTACGTATCCTTTACTTCCTGGGATTCCTACGTGGCATTTTCATTTCGGTTTCCACGTTTCTCGGCCTCTCCGATTTCATCGACCCCGCCGCCGCCGACGACATCTGGCAGGACTACTCCCCGCCGTCACAGTCAACGATGACGATTCAACACCACCACCACATGCAAAATCCGCCGCCGCCGCCGACCACCGCGATGATTCGCGACATCCTGCCGGTGGTGAAGTTCGAGGACTTGGGGGGCGATCGGCCGGAGAGCTGCGCGGTTTGCCTGTACGAATTCGGACGACGGGATGACGTCAGGTGGCTGGAGAGCTGCCGGCACGTATTCCATCGGGCTTGCTTGGATTGCTGGATGGATCAGGAGCGGTCCACGTGTCCGCTTTGTAGGATGTCCTTCGCGCCAGGGGAGTTGGATCGACGGTCGTGGGCCACGGTAGGCAACGTGGGCAAACGAAGGCGGTTGATCTGCTAAAAAAAAATTAATATAATTAGCTAGCTAATATATACCCGCTTGTATATATATACATATCATATGGAATGGGAAAAAGAAACGAGTTGAGGAAATTGGCTTTCTGATGAACTTTTTTTTTTATTAAAAATCAGTTTCCCATTTTTCCTTTTATTTAGACTTTTAATTTATTTGAATTGTGTCTGCCTTTTATTTAAACTATGGTTATTTGTTGTGTTACTGTTAGCACATCTGTTTTGGATTGTGAACTGCAAGGCTAGTGAAGGTTGTTGATTATGAGAAAAAAAAGTATTAAAAAAGGCAGTTTTGAGTCCTGCATGAGTTGGGTGCTCGGGTTTAATCGTTTTAATTATCTTATCCGAATAAATTAGAATCATATGGTTTACTTATGATTGGGTGGGGCCAGGGGCTATACTTTTTAGTAAAATCCTACCAAATAATAGTTAAAATTTCAAGCAAATAAATCAAAGCAAAAAAACATCAAAATGGGTAGAGCTTATTGTTTAGATCTTGATGGAGTGCAATTTGCTTCAACATCTGGCAAATCTATTCCTTAAACATTTACTGAATTAAGCTAAAGACGTTATTTCTTACAAGCTAACGCATATAATATGTTATTCTTCTAAAATCGTATAAAAAAAATAACCATAACCTATATCAGATATGTCTATTATGAGAAAATATCTTAATTCACTCACAAATATGCTTCAATGCTGGTATATGACATAAACATGTTTTTATATTAACACTTAGTACAATAGTTGTAACATGGGTAAGGTTGAGCATCTACGGGTTTCATAATACAAAACTCACACCCAACTCAAGAAAGGCGAGTTCAACAAAATAAAACCCTCTCCGGATCTTAAAACTTAATTTTAGAGATCAATGCGAGTTGATTGGGTCGAGTTACAATTATTTTTTTCACCCATCATTTCGAGGTATGGTCTAGGGTCCATGGAGAGGTACATAATCCCTAGTTACGCACTTATGCATAAGCATATCTGGCCTCTTAATTTCAAGTGAGGCTAGATAAGCAGTCAGATTTAAAGATCTTTTATTTTTAACTCAAATTTTGGAAATTTTTGCACTAAAGGAACAAGTTCATCGTGATCTATTACGATCTACAAATTTATGAGTGAGAAAATTTTCAGAACCAAATATCCCACCCTATATCTTGTGGTAACTTGTGTTAGGCAGTGATTATAGGTGGTAAATAACAATTAGTATATTTCGACTATCAAAGTGGATGTAATTTTGAGAGCACGATTAATCTAATTATAATGTGAAAAAACCGAATTACGACTGAAAAAAGAGATATTGCGCGTTAAAATTATTTAAGGGGAAAAGTTTATTTGTCTCCATGGACAATCAATGAGGATTACTAATGGTCCTGCAAAATTGAGTTATTGACCGGTTTTTACTCCCCTAGTCTCTAGGCTATTGATGGAGGAGCTTGGTGAGTAGTAGTAGGTGAATTATTAGGTTAGATCTTTTATGTTTATGTCTCAACATAAGGAAAAGATAATTTAACAAAATACAGTGTATTTGTTAAGTTTTCTTTCAAATAAATTATTTTTTAATGTTAGTGAAAATTTTAAACCTCCCGAATTCAACGAGCTTGGTATCCGATTAGGGCTTGGCTGGCTGATGTTTATTCTTATCCGGGTAAATCTAACAAACCTACCTGAAGACTGAAGTAGGGAATAACAAAGGATTATTCAACCCGAACCAATAAGTTGTGATAATTTTGCCACCCTAGCTAGGTTGGAACCAAATATAATTCTTGGTTGTGGGTAGGGATGGTAGTTAAACCCAAATTTGCTTATAATCCAACCCAATCCGATTCAGTTAAATCGGGTGAAACCCGACACCGATGGGTTTTGGGTTGTGTGTGCGGGTTTTGCCTGTGTCTTTGGTATAGGTGGGTTGGATTGATTGCAGCAGCTATTGTCAAAACCCGACTCACGCACCAGAAGAAAAAAATATTTTTATTTTGCATCTAACCCCGACAATATAAAAATTTCATGGATGTTATTAGTCTTTATGACAATATATAATCCTAATAATATGAATAAATTTATGGATCATGTTATTATTCATCTTGTAAGAAAGATTTTGATAATATAATTATTAATGATGTGGTCGGTGTTCGAAGGAATTATTCGTTGTTATGTCTGTGAATTATCCATAGAGTTACCCATGCACCAATTAGGTTGAGTTTTCTCTTCCAAAACCCAATGAGTATATTTTTTTATACCGATTTTTAACAGGTGCACTCTATGAAACAGATTCGACATTAAGAAATTTGACCTAACCACGTCTGTCTGTAGTTAGAAGTTAATTAAATACACAACAAGCATTTGCTAAATTTTTACACGAGTTAAGGAAAGGGAAGAAGAAAAAAAAGTGATCAAGGATGTACACCTATAGATGGTATAGTTGGGTATCAAATTAAATTTTTCCATGGGAAAAAAGTAGAGGATGGTAATATCTACAATGGATTTTTATGTACATTACGCATGCTAATAATGGAGAAGATTTATGTTATTTCGTCGTCATATATACAAATTATAATCACTTTTTGTAGTCCGGCGGTGGATAAGCACTCGGCGGTGGTGGGTACGACGGAGGATATCCCGGCGATTGATTGTATCCGCCCGGTGGATATGCATGTGGATTGTATCCCGGAGGCGGAAGAGGGTATGAGCCAGGGTGAGGGTATCCTCCCGGCGGCGGACCATATCCCGGCGGCGGCGGAGGAGGGTACCCACCGCCAGGGTAACTGGCGGGTGGGTAGCCGGTGCCGGGATACGGCGGCGGTTGGCCTATGCTGCCGCCCTTCAGGTTCTCCTCGTAAGGCGGATAGTGAACTGACGGGGGAATTGGCTGATCAAGGCGTGACATTTGTTGCATTGGAGGAACTGCCATAACTGGAGGAGGACCAAACTGACCATCTCTTTTGTCCATTTCAACTTTGTGTTGAGTCTGCATATTGTATAATCCATTACCAAGAATGGTTAGAAGCTAGCTTTATGAATGTTAAATATATATGTATTCATCTAGGGTAAAAGTTTTTAAGGGTTGTAGTTGAAACTTACTTGGAGACATGGACAAACCCTACCCAAATAGAACAAAGGGCATTGAATTAATAGGTGCCCTTTTTGGAGATTCTCTTAAAATCGTTGACGATGAAAGAAGAAAAAAAATTCGATCGAGTACTTACGAGCAATAGACGATGTCGGACAAGCAGGTCAGGAGGTCAGCAAGGTCTCCTATTTCGTCGATGCCGGTTAAGCATGCAACGCAGGAACATATGCATGCCAATTGTTGGAGGCAGAACATGAAACCCTTGAGGGGAGGGAAAAGGATGGAAATTGTGTTAATATTTCGTTAAAATCCCCAAGCAAGCACCAGATAAGTTCACTGAAAAAAGAACAAGAAAGGTAGAGGTGTAGTACTATCATGCAGTTGTCACATGGCGAAGTCTGAATGTTGAATTCATCTTGCAACAAGAAGCGTGTAGAGGCAACTGAATTCGAGAAGCAACAAAATACCTAATAGATCGTGAGCCTTTTTGTTAGTATTCTTGTGTTACACACAAGTAGAGACCAAAGAGGTCCATGAAATATTTTGTTCGTATTGCAAGAAATAAATAGTCACATACTCAAAATGAACGCCATTGATTTTTTTTTTATCATTTACATTTACCTCAGAGCAAAGACAAAATTCAGGGCAATTGCTTTCCCCACAGTTCCCACTGCATGGCATGTAGCCAGCACAACATGTGTACCTAAATTATGAATAGTAATCAATATTGTTTTTCCCTCCAAATTCCATGTGTGTTCTAAGACCAGCATTTCTAGCAATCAACTCGTTTTTTTCTTTCCAAATTGGAAATACACTATTTTCTTACCGGGACAAGTCATTGTAAAGAGCTCTTTTACGCAGAATGTATGAAGCACATGGTCCACTATATACATAAAAACACAAAGTAAGAAAAATATGGTCAGAACATCCAATCCAAAGAGATGAATTTATAACACATTTTGTGGTTTCAAAATTCTTTGAATTGGGTTCCTTGCTTGGCCTGCATGTTCCCTTTTTCCAACATGTATAAGAGGTTTTCATATTGAGAAACTATTGCATTCCTCGACAAGTAAATTTAAAAAAGAAAAGGTAAAACACTAACCAAGAAGGTAGAAAGAAAACTCACCATACCAACGCAAAACAACAAACTGCATAGAGGCAAAAGTAGGGGGGAAAAGAGATCAGATAATTATATATTGATACAATAAAGATTTAGAGAATATGAAATGATGAATACCAATTAGCCACTGAACAAACCAAGGTTTCTATGCTCGATACATTTCCACGAAAAACTTGAACGGTGTGAAAATCAATAAGTTATATATATAGATATAGTTGATACTTAGATAAAATAAAAAATAAAATGATCATGCAAAGAGTAAAAAAAAAAAAAAACAACAACACAGATTAATGAATTATTTGTCAAAAGTGTTATGAATGTCATGGGAAATAGTTATGGAAAACTTACAAGGAGCATCGGCTCCGACGGCACCCAAGAGATCGGTGTGCCACATATTCCTATAATTCTGGCGCAATTGCATTTGCGCCATTTTCTCGGCGGAATTCATCTTGAAATCCCAACGTCAGCAAGATGATAAACAAAGAAAAATTAAGATCACGAAGAGATTTCAAGAGTTATTCCGAATAAGAAAAAAAAATAGTACAAACAAAAGGGGGTAAATATGTACGAGGATTGAGGTGAGGGAGGGAGGGGGGAAAGGCAGGATTCTTGGTTTTTATAATTCCTTGTCGTAGTCTTCCAAAAATGGGAGTGGATTATGGACGAAACAATAGAAAAAAAAGATTGAGAGGATCGTATTGCACATCAATTAATACCCAATCATTAAACATTTTGTACAGTTTCTAAACTAGCATTTATTAATTACAAATAATCTAATTAACCCTAGGATAAATCCTTCTAATCACTTACATATATACACACACAGGGTTCATACAATGGCCTCGACTCCACCGTCAAATGGGTTATGGATGGCGCAAAAAACACCACAAGTTAGGGCAACAGTAGAGGTATTGTCGTACTAGTGGAGGAATTGGAGCTTTTCAGTTTGGATCTATTGAGAATGAGCGGACAATTCATCTCATATTTAAAATCCTATCACATTTAATAACTGGATTACTAAATCATGTCATGTTTAGTCACTAGAAAAAAATTAATATAAATTTTGGTCACTCGAATTACACTGAAACATGTCACATTTAGTCACTCTCTCTCGTTAGTTTCTGTTCAACTCCATTAACGGAGTTTGACGGAGGCTAACGGAGAGTGACTAAATGTGACATGTTTCGGTAATTCGAGGGACATTCATAAGAAATTCGAGTGGTCGGAGTTGGACGGAGGCTAACAGGAGAGTGATTGAACGTGACCTGTTTTAATAATTCGAGTGAACAAAATTGATATTAATTTTTTCTAGTGACTAAACATAACATGATTAAGTAATCTCAATGACCAAATGTGACATTTACCCCTTAACATTTGAAATTCATCCTGGTATTTGAGCTAAATTCAAATCCAAAGAATCCAAATACATGCTTGCAATCCTTGAATTCTGAATTCCAAATCGCTCTGCTGGTTGATGTTAAAAAGAAAAAGTTCCGAATCTCAAATACATGGCCGAAAGAAGAAAAAAAAAAATAGAGGGCAAGTCAATTACAAGCAAAACATGCAGTCACACAAGCAGAGGGAACTTCTCAAGCCACAGAAGCCACCATCAACGCCAACCAACGGCAACAACCGCTTCCCAAAAGAGTGGGATTTTGTAAAGATCTTCACTTTAACACGCTGCAGGTTTCAAGAGCAACATATAGGTTACTGAGATCATAGATGTGAAGATTCATAATACATCTCATTACGGTGTATGGTCTGGCTTGAAATAGCTACTAGCCACCTAATGTGATTTGCAAAAAAGTTTCAGTAGAAATAGAAATGTCACCGGGTAAAACTGCTTAGACCTTGAATCTAGCTTTCAAGTTGGCTAAAAAGCCTCTAGTGGCAGACTCAGGAGCTTCAACAAGGTGCACAGGGTTTGTCAAATTTACTATCATGACGGTCGACTAGAAATTGTTTGACATTTGCTTGTTGATGTGTTAGTTATCAACTCTGGAAGACGGTTGCTGAAATCTGCTGTATTACTTTTTTTGTTTTTTGTTTTTTCAGTATCCTACACACTTGTAGCAAAAGGCAGGCAGTATGCACATATCAATAGACTACAAGTTCATTCGGTCAGAGTAGAGCGGCTCACTTGTATAAATAGGCAGCAATGCCCAAAACGAGGCACAAGAGGATGATGTCGATACAAAAGTTGCGGCTGGATCTTAGCTGAAACGAAAGCCAAAACACGAATAAATAAGGCGCAAGACCAGAGGAAGCAAAGCTTGCAAGACCAGAGAAGGCATTTTTACCTGGTTTACAGTATCTTTGAGTCTCACATTAGTACTTCTGAGGTCCGATGATGCTTTATCAACCTAAGATTATATAACAAAATCCAATTATGCCGAGATGCAAACCTTGAGATTGTTCCAAGACTCATAAAGAACAAAAGGCAAGTTGAGCAGCAATTCGTCCTCCCTGACACCAAAAGATGCAGTGGACATTCTACATATCCTTCTCCAAGATGCAATATAAAGATAATAATCTCTCTTTTCATATATATCATATTTCCCGTAACTGGTTTTTACCACGAAAAACCCCTTCACTTGAGTGTTCACAGGGGTAATGGGTCCTGATCCTAGGATCTAATGTACAAGCATGCCATTCATTAATATTTTTAGGCCTCTTATCCCAAAAGCTAGTTGTAGGGGTCAGAAATTTTCCAACATGCATACGTTCAGAGAACAAAATGCACAAGACAGGAAGCTATAAACCAAAGAAGCAGTGAATTCACAGATAAACCACCATCTTATTGATGCAATACTATGAGCCTAAAATATAAAGATAGTTGATACAGTTACAAAGCTTAAAAAAATACCTTCTCATCAATTTCATCAACCAGGGGTACTTGTCTTTCCAATTCCTGCGTAGAAAGGCAGAGGTGGGAGATGGAAAAGAAAATCTAGCGTGATGAAACAATGTATAGAAAGGACACCAACAATTATTTAGATAACTGTATCAAACAGACCTCATTCATATCATGCGCCATGTCCTTTAAAGTATCCAATCCTTCAGCTATAACATCTAAACCTTCATCCTGCGCAGAGTTGACAGTAACTTAGATAGATCACCCCTGGGTTTTATCTAGAATGATGCATCAGCTTGCTCGAGTGAACCATGAATGGCTGCCTCTTTCCAAAAATTGCATCCAGTAATTGCTCGGAAGTTTCACCCAGCAATGCAGATTCAATACACAGTAAAGAGTTGACAACCAATTAAGACGACGCACCTGTTTCATTTTACGCATTTCGTATTCCTGCCTGAATCGGTCGGTCTCTTCAGTGTTTTGGAAGTAATCACTATCAAAACTGCCATCTGAAAAAGATTAAGAAACATGGTCATTTAGAAGTCAGTTAAGTAGGTTATCAGTGGTAGAATTTATGAGCTATCCGCAAAAACATAATGTAACCAAATTAGGACTTAAACACAATCAATTTGCTCAAGAAAAATAAATGGCGAAAACACTTAGGACAGTCGATTGATTACCATAGTTTGAATTAAACTTGATTCCAGTAGATGCTGAAGCTCCTCCATTGCTGCTTGGTTGGGCTGCAGTCGTGGTTCCATCAGGCACCGACGCGATCCTATCTTTTAGTGCAGAAACCAAATCACTGCGAGCCTCGAGCTCTTCCCTTGAAAGACCTCTGACCTACAAGTAGTTGTTTGATCGCATCGCCAATCAGCCAAGGCAAAGAACTCCAATGACCGGAATTCTACTTAATCAGGTTACAGAAAGTAATGAGAATACCAAAAACAAACAACAGTTTTTCCTTTTCTCCCTTCATTTTTCCCGCGAACCAAACAGAACCATCTCATCACTGGAACTGGACCAAAGCTCAAAGGGGGAAAAGAATCGAAGAGAAAAAAAGAGAAATGATACCTTCTTCATAGCAAGTCGCTGCAATTTCGGGATCTCGTCAAGCAACCGAGCTTTGGTCCTCCGGATCTCGGCATTGATAGCAACAACGGCAGCCCGATTCTTCGCCGATGCCACAGACTCCGCTTTCTGGAAATCAAATCAATGTCCAGAAATTATACCGCCAGATTCGGGATGCTTCAACATTCGGTCCTTGATAGAAATCAGTCAACGCATCAAACAGAAAACACAGATTGAAGGAGAAACAAAATCGATCACCTCGATTGTGGAGTCGAGTTCGGCCTCGACTACGGCGTAGAGGCGAGCGAAAGCGTCATCGCCGGAGACGTTAAGTTCAGCTTGCTTATCCACATCGTACTTATCGAACTTCCGGCAAATCGAGTCGACTCTAGTTATCAGATCGATCACGCTCATCTTCCTCCTCTTCGTCCTCCTTCTTAGACTTCTTTTTCTTCTCACTTGACAATGTCGTCGTCTTCTTACGTGAATGTAGCTGTATTACCAGTTGGCAATAGTGTAAAAGACAGCGGAAGGACTGCCGGCCGACGGAACCGAGGGAGGGGAAAGAAGGAAATGAGCGTTTTGTGGACAAATTTAAAAGTTATAAATAAAGGTTACCTAGCACTACGAGATATCTCTATCTAGATTATGAATTAAATCGAGTTTATGGTATGGTTATATCCTAATTTTTAATGGATAAGTTTCAGGTCCCGATTCTCCAAACTCAAATCCAAAGTTCAATATAATAGAAAATATTAATCGACAGTTGAGATTGATCGGAGCTTAGAAAAGAATATCAACACAATCACAGTAAGGTAACAAAAGTTTAAGTGAGGTATGACACTGTCTTACCTTACGTATCGAGTTCCTTGTTTAGGTTGGTCAATCTTCTCTTGCAGATTTGCAATTATAGCTTATTAAACTTAGATATAATAAATTTCACGCGTGTAATGCAACCTTAATATTCCTAAGAGACTTAACAATGTGGTCTGAGATATAATTTTTTATCCAACAGACAACCGTCTCATTTACTCTATCCCAAGTTACATAATAAGGATATGAGATACCTAGTACTTGAATCATGCCAAGCACAAATCTCAGCTTGCGTTTTTATGCAAAGAGCTACCTCGATTGACTCTAATTGTCATTGTTGTGCTTGAATCGAATGACTATCGGAAAGGATTTGTCGTTTTTATCTACTTAAAAGGGGTTGGAATAAGGTTCTTTATAGCATGAGACACGATCTCCATTTTCGTATCCTAAGATAATCCGATGTCGTGTTGGCACTGCAGAGTCAAATCATTTGTAGAAACCAGATCCGAGTGAAACGTTGCTGGTAAGCGAACTAAGTGAAAGGAAGCTTAACCAGGTTTACATGTTCTTGACCTACATCTCCATTTAAGAAAGCCATTGAAAAACACTTGGGAGTTGCAGGGCAACTATTCACCAAATACAGCCTGGTTTTGACCTCCTACTTGAATAGGCATCAAATAATCTGATACGGATCCAAATAAATCACCCAATAATGTTACCAAATAATTCAATGGGTCGGTCGACATATTCCTACGTGACAGATTTCCCAAAAATCAATGGTTATAATTTTTGAACTCGTAGTAACGAAAGATAAAGAGGTTGAAAGGAAAGAAAACTTGATGGCATAAACGCAATGTGCATGTGTAAGGGCCTGTTTTTGAATCTGAAAGCAAAACAGCGGCAAAGCTGTACAAAATTCAGAGGTCAGATCCAACGAAGGACATCTCTCTTTGAATTCATCTCTCGCAGTCTCGCGCACCAGATCCTACGTTTAAGATTGGCGGCCTAATACGAAAATGATGATCAAAGCGAGCAAGCAAACCCTAAGTCCTAACACTGCCTTGAATTGGTGACTTTGGACTTCGAAGTGCATCTTCAGGGGGAGGGGGGAAGAAACAGAATGCAGGAAAATCTACACAAGAAAGAGAAGCAAATTCACGCCCTGAGAATTGGACAAAACTTCCAGTCACCAAAAAGCTTACTTCCTGCCGTTTTGCAAGGGACGGCGGCTAAAGGGTGGCCGCAATACCAGGTCCCATATCAAAATCTCAGCTACAGCCAGCCAGACTGACACTGCATATCACCGTTTTTTCCTCGACTTCTTTGCAGAGCCCAAGATGGATGCAGAATGCCTAGAAGAACCATTGACTCTCAACCCAGACTCGTCTACATCTTCTTCGCTGTCGTCATCATCGCTACGAATCCCACTGGGGGTAAACCGATTCTGGTATGCTCTTCGGCACAAGAGACATACATTGTAGTAATAGCTCACCAGATCTTCCCTTCTCTTCCTAGGGAACTGCTTGATTATCTCATCCCAGAAACACCTACCTGATGATGGGAGATTGACCCCACCCACTATAGCCATGAACCTCTTCTCTTCGTCTTCCGACCAGTTGGCTTTGACTTCTTCGCCCATCCTATCGAAGCTCCAGTCGTAGAATGCTTTCCCTAGTTCACGCTTCAATTTCAGCCTTCTCTCCTTGATGTGAAACCTCACACACTCCACTGATTTTGGCACTTCACACCCACACGAGTCAACCCTTCCTTTGCCAATAGGCTCTCTCTCGATGATAAGTTTGCTGGGCAGGGATAGCGGAGGCCAAACCCGAGTACCCAACCACCTTGTTTCACTTTCAGAAGCGACGCCACCACCAATCCACTCTGGTACTGCAGCCTGAAAAGCTGGGCCCACAGGGATTGCGCTCTCTGCTGGAAGTTCCACGAAAGAATAATATTCCAAAGAGGAATCACCAGCACCACATGCTCCTTGCGTGTAAGAGTCTGACCCGTTGTGAGTAGTAAGAGAGGAATATGACCGGCAGGTGTGTCCTTTCTTGGATAATCTTGCCCCAGGTGAGGCAAGATTATTTTTACATTTTGATCTCTCTCTGAAATTGTAATTGGTTCCAATGTGATCTTCATACATGCAAGGATGCATCTTCCTGTTTTCCTACAGAAAAGGGAGTAGAGTTCAGTTTGCATTAGTCTGGTGTATTATTGATACCCATCATAATTGCACCCCTCCATAAGGCAAACACAAAAGGAGTAGATAGATTAAGGACATATGCAACCAAGGTTACATGATCAGGGATACTTTACCCCCCAGTTGTTTTATCTAGAAATAAACCTAACGAGAAAAGCCAAAACTCAGACTGCAGGCAAAGCCATACTATTAGTACGTAAAGAGGTCTAAATGGTAACAGACGCTGATGTAAAATGAGCAAAAGTATATAACTAGATATCCAAAACAAAAGGAGCATAACAGACTTCTTCTCTTGAACAAATGTTAAAATTTGCTAAGTATGAGAACGTGTGAATCAAACTGAATTCGACAAAATCTGATACTTAGTGCAAGCAAACGGCTTGAGTTTGCTCAATATTATGTTCTCTGTATAGTTCTGGCCTGGAAAGTCGCTTTTATTCCCTAGGACAATTATACATAAACTTGATCTATAGAATTGCACAGTGCCAAATGATTATTCCACTGGTGGGGTAACTAAGTGCTTCAATATCAGATTTTCTTGCATAACCTTGATCTATACAGAATTGTAAGCTGCTTAAATGAAACAAACCCCATTGATCCAGTCAATTAAAGAGGTGAAGGACAAACGAGACAGTTTGTAACCCAAACGTCATCGTCACAAAAGTACTCTTGATGCAACTCCAGTTCATCCAGTTCATCTCACTTGTGTATCACAATCCCTACAATGCTAGTAGGTTAAACCACACTATTGGAATCGGTAGACTCCAGCAAACCTAGTCTTCTCAAAACAGCACTCAAGAGGAAGAATTTGAGAAAGTAGAGGGTCAATTATTTGAACGACCAGAAGAGTTAATTTATTAGAAAAATTGTAACAATTATCTGAAACATACACTATCAGAGTTGTTAATAGAAGAATAATGAAAAAAATTCATCCAGGAATACTAATTCCTGAGTTTGAAAAAGTAATCAATTGGATTATTGTTGGAAGTGATTGCTCTGCAAGGTCTATGCAACTCGATAAACAAGTGAATAGAGACAGTGTGGCAAAAGTAAGAATTTCCATCATCAATATCAATGCCCACGAAAATATCAATGCCCGCGGAAATCCATGTATGAATCAAATAATAATACGTAACATGAGGCACGAAGACCGTAGAAATCCACCATCTAATGGGATAGATGAGACATTACTAACAGTTCGACCATCCTATCCTACTAGAATAAGGTATAGGTTGGTTGAATTCTATTGTTGATTAGGGATACTAATTCCTGAGTTTTTAGAACCCACCCTCACGCATACCAAGAACGAACAGAAGCCTAGAATCACTATAAGAGAAAAAAAAACTAAAGCCTAACCAGCCCCAGAGATTTGGATCTAAATATTTCTCTTAACTACATCAACAGCAAATTCAGTTTGCTTGGAGCAATGTAAACCACTAAACTGCAAAATAATATCCACAAAAGTAAAGTCAAAAGCCTAATTCTGTCTCCTCCTTATCCAATGAAATGATCTTCAAACAACAAAACATAGTCATCACTTCTATATAGACCTCCTTAAAACTCTAATGGATTATAAAGTCAGCTTATGACCCTGTTATCAACTTTAACAAATAATTTGGAGAAAGAAATATTAGAGTGCAACTGATACCTGCCCGTTGGAAGCAGGACTTGACATTACATCTCGCTTATCGAACAATTCCTCCCTAGCCAATAAAACCTGCTTCCACAGCTTTTCACTCCCGTACAACTTCCACTTAGACTTGTCTGGTAATTGCTCAACTGTAAGATCACAGGGATTTCTGGCAATCCTGTAAAGCCAATTTAGCATTTCAGATTTCGACCCTCGTTTCCTCTTACGAGAAGAAACTGGTTCTTCAACAACATTCTTATCGCAGTCCATGTCATCAGCACCCTCGTCATCGCTCCCTTTATCCATCTCATCTGTTCCAACCACAGCACTTTTGACATCCTCCTCATCTCCAACTTTCATGCTTCCGGTAGAACCAGATGGCATGCTTTCATCAACATATTTGCGGTTGTTGTTGTTGTCCCCACAAATAGAAGAATCCATTACAAACCTATTCACCGGTTCCCCTATCAACTTCCTTGGTTCCACAACATCAACTGTACTCCTTGCAGAGTCCGTATAACTAGAATATTGCTCGCCATAAACTGAATCAGCTTCCATACTTGGACTGCAATCAGATTCTAATCCAGAATACTTCAACTTCTGCATCTCAGATAAGATTCCGTTCAATTTATCCCCTGAAGACATCGAAACCTCACACCCGCCACTATTTCTCGATTTCTCGTTCAAGTCCTTATTATCGACAACAAGACTCTCCAACTTCTTCTCTAAATCGAACAAGTACTCAACATACACTAATTTCAACGTCGGTCCAAAGCTGGAGTCCAACTCCAAATCTTCAGCAACAGAATTCCACAACCCGTCCCTACACACAACACCATTCCCACCTTTCTCCCTCACGGCCAAAAGCAATTTAAGCAAATTCAAAGATCTTCCATCGGCAAGCATCGGAGGGAAGAACTTGACAGAATCTAGAGCCCCAGACTCCTTGAGAAAATCTTTCAGAAAGTTGTCAAACAAAGATGACCTCGCCGTCCCAGATTTCAGATTTGCCAGGAATTCATTCCGCCCGAGACTTTCCCCTGATGTTCCGTCCGAATCTCGGGCTTGCTCTTCAACATCTATTCCCGACCACCCTGCCATCAACATTCAAATCCAAAACCCTAAGCACGAGTAATTTCTTCCACAACCAGAGAAAGGACACATCGCTGAAGTATCAAGACAAACATCGACATGCTACAAGTCGATCTATGCAAAACGATTCTAATGCGGCCAGTGGCTAAAGGCAGCTCGACCCTTGGGTTAGTGGGTTTTGGTGGGAAAATGCATAATCTAGGGTTTTGAAGCCCCGAAAATTTCGTTTTCGGTTGCGCGCGCCTGCGCGTCTTTAATTGCAGTCGCGGGGCAGAAAGGAAATCGTGAAAAGAGAGGCGAGTTTTGAACAGACGCCAAACCCACAAAAGAACGCTGTTTGGTTCGTAAGAAAATACAAGTGGAAAATAAGAAAACTGTATATATTATTATGTATTAAAAACGCAGATACTTACCAGTTACCAGAGTAGTTTTCTTCTTCTTTTTTTCTATGGGGCTCGAGTTTTTGTAGTCTTTCCTTCCAAACTTCAAAGAGAAAGAGGTATCAATCATGGAGAAGAAAGACCTTGACTCCTTTTTAGGCCTTTCTCTTCCTCCCTCCAAAAGCCAAAAACCCTATTTTGCCTTTTCCTTTCTTTGGTTGTTTGAGAAGCACCTTTGTGATCAAGGAGTTTATATGATGCAAGAATTGTGCCATAGAAAACCCCACCCCCATATTTATATGGGGTTTGATTAACCTAACCCTAGTTTCTTTAGGAACTCTTGGGTTGGATTAGACCTTTAGGTTAATTCATTTCACTAATCCATGGAATTACAAATGATATGGACAATAAGCCCATGGATAAATTATCTACAATCCACTTTATCAAAGAATTGGCCCAACATACCAAGAATTCCAAACTTATATTCTTGATTGCTTGATGGATTTGGGGATGGATTTGGATCTATCATGGATTTTGTTCAAAGTCCATTGTTTGCTTCATGTATTTTGTGGCAACAAATCTGTGGGCTCCATGGACTTTAGGGGTCCAAATCCGTGAGTCCACGAACTTGAAAATTCCACCTATTAAGGTGGGACTTTAAAATCCATCATTTATGACCAAACTATACATGTTTCATATTTCTCATCTCATACCAATGAGGGTAATATAGGTCATTTTCACTTCATGAACACAAATCTAATTAACCAAATTCATCATGAAATCAATGAAACAAACAATGATATTTTACAAGTCCATAATGAACCCAAAAGCTTTATATATCCATGGTTTTACAAAACTCAAATTTTACCTAAACCTTCATTTTTCATCAGATTCATGAAGCAAACTACCATTACAACTACTTTATCTCAATTCTTTAAGATGAACTGCAGGCAATCTCCTAATGTTGTAATCTCATTAAGTTCTGAATTGTGGATGAGGTGTTCTCCATGGCGACATGTTACCAGTTCAATGGGTTGTTGGAAAATAAATGTTAGAAGAATGCTTTTTTATGGACTTATTGACGTGAGACGAAGCGGGATAAAATGATAAAAGGGTAACGATTCGTTGTTGTTTATTTGGAAGACAGAATTAAGACGGTTAAGCAACATATATAACTTATGTCCATGTAGGAGATCATAGCATTTCTTTTCGTATAAAAGAAGAATCAGAAAATTATATCAAGATAGGAGAATATAAATCCTAGGCTTACAACACATGATACTTATAGAGTTAAATTACACATTCGTACACTAACAAACTACAATAATAGTCTCTTGTTTCACAAAAAAAAATATTAGGTTGTAGGTAAACAATGAAACCTTCAAAATATAAAATTACCAACATTCCATGAAACTCCCTAAACAAATGAACTTAAAACCCAATTTATATAACTGTACAATTTTTTTCTTCCTCTTTTCACTTAAACACGGAAGAAGAAGCCAAATTTTTTTTGTAAGTCAAAAGATGCTATGAAATTCTATGTTTCCTTCTCATCCTTATTTTTCATTTTTTCCCCTTCTTTTAGACCAAAAGAAATCACTATGAGAGTGTCTAAATCTTCAAGGGCCTATTATCTAGTATCAGAAGTGGGTAGCATTGAGTCATTTCCTGCTCCCCATTGCTTCATTCTTTCTGATGCTTGTTCAACCTGCAACAAAAAGTTGATGAATTCTACATGTCTCAATATATTTACATAAAGGCATTTACCAAAAAAAAAAAAAAAAAGGTAAAATAGATTAGCTAAGATTTACTTTTACCTCCTTGTTCCAATTGGTTTTGCAGATAATGCAAATAAGAATTAATGTCTGCAAAAAGGTCCCAAAAATCATCCCCAGCCAAATCCCCTGTTCAACATCCACCAAACATGTTAAAGAAAAAACATCAATCTATGAACTTATTATTTAAATATCCCAATAAAAGAATACATTCATAACCATAAAAGAAGCAAAACTGAATTTACCTTCACATGCATACTTGTTTTGTAACCAAGGAAAAAACCAAGAGGCAAACCAACAGCATAGTAACAAAACAAGTTTATATAAGCCACTAAAGCTTGCCACCCTCCTCCAACAGCAACCCCTGGACCCAAAATAAATAAAAAAAATGCAAACAACCATCCTGAAATCAAATTATGAGCAATTTTTTTAAAAAAAACTGGCCCCTTTCCATGCAAAATTACTATTCCAAAAAAAATTTAATTTATCGTACCTGAGATTACCGGTTGGATGCTGTTCAGGATCATTGTTATCCCTAAAAGATAAGCCAAGTCAGCTACTGCTTTCTTCATCTCATTGCTGTCAGTAAAAATGACAGCAAAATCTTCTCTGGTTGCTAGAATTACTCCCGCGCTAAATATTCCTATGAGGAGAGACTCCGTGCAGGTTACTATTACAGAGTACTTGGTTGCTCTAGGATGTCCTGATCCAAGCTCATTTGAGACCCTAACACTGAGAAGAAGAAAGAAAAAAAAAAATCAGAAAAATTTGTAGCAGAAAAAAAAAAGAAAACTGCATATGGAAGAATCAAACAAGGAATTGAGACCTTATGGCAGCATTGATCCCGATGAAGAGCATCCCTTCCCATCCATTAATGTTCATGCTGTACAAGAGAAAGAGAATGAAAAATAACCAAAGAGGTCGTCGTTTGGATGAGGAATTGTAACCGATCAATTCGACACAATTGTCTCGTTTGTCAGCAAAAAAATTTGGATGGATCAATCTTCCTGAGATATTTTGAATTGATCCGCGTTTTGAGTCAGTTTTAATTACCTGGGGGTGGGGGCAGGTAATTCGAATTGACTCGTTTTAATTGCCTCGTTTATAAAACGAGACAATTGATCAAATTGACCAAAATGCCTCGTTAATACTACTGAAAAGAGAGAATGGGGCATATTTCTTACCATATAGAAAGAGACCCAACTGCGATGATAGGGTCTTCAAGGTGGCCAGTAAGCACAATTAAGGTCATGAAATACCAAATCTCCAAACAAATCATCACAGCTGAAGCTATGGAGAGTTTGAAGAAACCCCAGAGGTCCTTAAACGCTGACCAGGACAGCCCTCTCCAGCCTTCCTTACACCATCCAACGATGTAAACCACCTGAGCCAGAGCCAATCCCCAAGCCGAGATGTCGTAAGCCACAGCAGCACCAGTCAGCCCCCATTTGAAGATGTAGATGAAGAAGTAGAGCAGAACTATGTGGATGACGAAAGTCACGAAACCAATCCATGCCAAGAACCCAACGTTGCTCTGCGCCTGCAGAAATTTCTGGGTAGGGAAGTTGAGGGCCAGAGAGAACATCTGGGGGATGACCTGAATGGTGAATCTGCCGGCCAGTTCGGCAATGTCGGGCTCGATTCCGAGGAGCTTCAGGATTTCCGTGGCGTAGAGGTAGAGCGGCAGCAAGAAGAAGCAAGCACCAAGCAAGATGAGCCAAGATCGTTGCATGTATACCCCGAGCAATTCAACTTGCCCTGCGCCGAAAGCTTGCCCACAGAGTGTCTCCAATGCACTTCCCATTCCAAGCTACCAAAAAAAGACAAAAAAAAAAAAAAATTTGGTTAGCAAGACTATAACATCCCGAACCTTTTCCCGACAAGATACTACTGTCCGTTTTGGGCCTCTACAGTCGCACGGTTTTCGACTTGGAGGTGCAATTCAGGGTGACTTTCCATAAGATCACCCATCCATGTTGTGCTCCACACCGAGCACGTTTAACTTCGGAGTTCTTGACTTACAAGAACTCCTCCATTACACCCCAAAACGCATCTTGTCTGTTAAGGCCGGTTTCTTACTTATGAACCATGGATCTCTCACGTGCTTTGTCGACGTGGGATTCGCCTAAGGTGTTAAAAAACACTATTGAGGAAAAGAAAAGAAAGATTCAGGAATTGGGGGATGAAAGAAGGCAGGCAAGCTAACCAAGAAGCCGAAAGAGAAGTTTGCAATAACAGAGAGGGAAATGGCAACAGCAGAGAGCTCAACGTCCCCAATGTGTCCAACAAATATATTGGTAAAGGAATTGACCCCATAATTGCAGAGGATGTTGAATGCAATAGGACCTGCAATCCCCCATAACTTGGATGACTCCATAACACATATGGTCTTTGCATCTTGAAAGCTCCGTACGGGAGGGTAATCTCCACACTCATCCAGGGCTAACTTGGAGGGAGCATGGTGGAGCTCTGTCATCTCGAACCCACCACCTCCACCTCCGCCATCGTCCATTGATGGCGGAGGATCGGTGCTTCGAGGGGCAGTTTCAATCAACAAAGGGGACATTCCCGAATGAAAAACTGCCATGGGTGGTGCTGGGTTTTGCTTCGGGGAAGACTTATTAGATGATGATGACGATGATGAAGAAGTGCTGCTCTGCCCTGCACCATGGGCGCCATTTTCCTTAGTATTCGCAATGTTTGCGGCAATGAGATTCAACCCCTTGTTTCTTTCTCTTGGTTCTTCCTTCTGTGTTAGGTTACATGGGATGGCAATTTTTTGGTAGAATTTTGGAGGCAAGATATGTTGAAAAGAGGGGGGAAGGTTTTTCTTTGGTTTTTTGGCATGGAATTATGGGCGACGGACAAGCAACAACCTATAAACATGGAAGACCAAGAGAAAGGAATTCAAAATGAATAGACATGCAAGAAATAAGAGAGAAAGTTGACCGAGTCTTCATTTGGGTTATCGTTTGTTGATTCGTTAAATTATAGTTACCGTGGAAACCTATTGAGATTTTCATTCACATAGATACACTGGGAATATAGCGCAGCTACTATTATGGGATGAGAGGATTTTCCCTTCTATTTGTACTGTATTACTTTGAGATAAAGGTTATTATTGTAATTTGTAAGTAACTAAGTGATTTTCTTATATATATAAGCGCTCTTCCATGTCATTCATTTTAACTCCAATTATAGGCTATAATCAATCAAACGGTGTAGTATCGTGAATTTTTGTCAAATTAAATAGTCGGCGATGTTGATTGTTAATGAATCAGCATGCTCTGCTGACGTGGATGTCACGTACGCAATAAAAATTAATATATTAATAATTTAATAAAATTAAAAAATCAACTACGCTGACGTTAATGAATCAGCGTGCTCTGCTGACGTGAAAATTTATGTTTATGATAAGTCATGAGTTATGAGTTTTCCCTCATTAAAGCGAAACTAGTATAAGGACTGACTCCAACGTCCGCACTCAGGAGTTGCAGGAGAACCATGTACACTTCCAGAAATTTAATTATTGTAAGACATGACAACCGAATGACTTCCGGCTCCAGAGGACTTCCAGTATGATGAATTTAATTCAGTATTTTAGCACGAGGAAAGGGTTGATGTGATTTTACGATGAATATTTATTACGTCAAGAAATTTCAAACTATGTTGACTTTTTTGTCTACTGTATTATTTGATAGGACATTTTCACAGTTGTTCAATTTTTTAATATTCACTACTTGTCAAGACAAGAGTAGCATTTTGTTTAAAAACTTAAAACTAGTGTCTGGCCAAATTAGAGCGTTACAAATAATCAAGACCATTATTGTTAATATAATAATATTAAGGACTACCTTTATCAACTATTCAACTCCAAGAAAATATAGGTCCCTTTTCCGGAATCTTTTTGTTCCCTTCTTCGCAGTGCCACAGCCCACAAGCAACCTTCACCCGCTATTTCTCCTTGTAAACTCCCATTCTCTCTCTCTCTCTCTCTCTGGAAGCAGCCGCAGAAATAGCAATTGAGTTGTCAAGGATTAGAAGAAGAAGAAGAAAACCATGTCGTCCCCGAGCAAACGCAGAGAGATGGACTTGATGAAATTGTTATTACCTAACCCATTTCCCCTTCAATTATTTGTTTTTCCTTTTCGGGTTCCTTACTTTGTTCCACTAGTTCCCTTATATGTCTGTAGTTTACTTTTTAATGGCTCTTTTTTCTGATCGGAAACGGTTGTCTTTTTCTTCTGGGTTAATAGGATGATGAGTGATTACAAGGTAGAGCTGATCAATGATGGGATGCAAGAATTCTATGTTCATTTCCATGGACCCAGTGACAGTAATTATCCTTACCATCGGCACCTTCCTTCTTCTCTAGTCTTTTCTGGGTCTGTGTTAATCTTCGGCTTCATATTTTGCTGACTCTATGGGGGATGATATGGAGATGTGGGAACAACATAGTTTCAGGTTCCATTGGCTTTTTTTGTGGGTTCTAGTTCGATAGCCCAATTGACAATAATTAGGCCTCAGATTGTTCTTGTTGTACTAGGTTTCGGCTGTTCGTTCACCTTTTCTTACTGGTCTTTCTTGACCCTTTTGTAGAAATCCCAGTTTTATACTGATATATGATATCCTCTTTTGGTGTAATGGGTTTATACTGCAAGGTCCATACGATGGAGGAGTGTGGAGAATTCGAGTTGAGCTGCCGGATGCTTACCCCTACAAATCCCCGTCAATAGGTTTCATCAACAGGATCTACCACCCTAATGTTGATGAAATGTGAGTCTTTTCTCTTCTCTGTACTGAAACTTTTTAACATTTCCATGTGAATTCCTTGTCATTACTTTACGAGCAGCTTGTGATACTGACCATCTTCTGTGGGATGGTGGTGGTACTGAACTGTTTGTTCATTGCAGGTGTGGCTCAGTTTGTTTGGATGTCATAAATCAAACTTGGAGCCCCATGTTTGGTAAAAAGCCTCTGTTAGTTACCGGGTTTTTTTTTGTAATGCAGGCTTTCTTTCTATGCTTTTGAGAACATAAAAGCTCTGGTCTGACGAATGGAACTTCTATCTTTGGTAGATTTGGTGAATGTGTTTGAAGTGTTTCTTCCACAACTTCTCTTATATCCTAACCCATCGGATCCATTGAACGGTGAGGCTGCTGCTCTCATGATGCGCGACCGTTCAGCCTATGAACTCAGAGTTAAAGGTTTGGTTTCTCTGTGATTCTTCGTTTTATCTACCATGCCTGTTTCTGGTTGACAACCTGAGTTGCTATTTTAAGTAGATACTGGACTAAGAATTGCTATCCCCCGTTTTGTATCTATTGCTTACACCAATCCTGCTGATTAAGTAGCCATAACTAGATGTCGTTCCCCTAAAAAATATCTGAAACATAGCTTTAAGGCCATTTTGTGGACAAAAGAGATGGCTTCAAAAAATGAGCTCCGGCAAAGGTCTATACCTTGATTTGGTGTGATTCACGAGTTTGATTTACGATATGGTGCTCATTTCCTTTCTTGACTCGTGAACTGTCAACTGGCAGAATACTGTCAGAAATATGCAAAGCCAGAAGATGCTGGAGCCACGGCAGAGGAAAAGGAGAGTGATGAGGAATTGAGTGAAGATGAGTACATGTCTGATGATGAGATGGCTGGGCAAGCAGATCCTTGAAGCAGAACTCGGCAGCCTGGCCTCTCTTTGCCCTTACAATGTTGTATCATATGTAAATTATGATTGTATAATTTGGATTGTTAACTTCAGTTGCACCATCAAAAGCCTGCTGATATCTTTGCCGGGCTTTGATATTGTTGTAGAACTGCAGCCCTGAAATGCTGCTGCTACTGTCAATTTGTACATACATTTCAATCTGTGTATCATTTGTACCTACAATAAAATCCCTGCTACTCCCCAGTCACCCAACACCATTCCAACTGAAGTATGCAACTTAGCTTGAACATTCATCTTATCACCTGATTCTCAAGTACACATAAATACATGAATCTAATTGATGAATATATCTTTTTATGGCAGTGGGAATTTCCAAGAGATAGAGTCATCGTAGTCTTATCATGCCACGCAAGATGGAGGAGTAATCAACAACACCAATCTTGGACCGTAAAAACTGGAAGCGAGAGACACCAAGAGGTTTGGTGAGGCCATCAACGAGTTGGGACTTGGGAAGCTGTGTGTGTGAATGTGAAGGACGAGAAGTTGATTGGAATCCACGAAAACATTTTTTAATAAATATTGACAAACTGGATGAACAGTTGATGACACAACTCAATATGATTACAGTTGTATAAACAGTTGATAACACATGTCATTCTGATTAAACCTGCGTGAACAATTGATTTTACCACTCAATATGATTAAAGCTGGCAAACTAATTGATGGCAACACTCATTCTATGAAACATGTGATGAGTCATGGCCATCACGTATTATTTTGATTTCGTCATTGATAACGTCATATTTTATTAGCAATGAAATGAATTATGTCCAAATAAAAAAAATATCAAAAAATGTTTGTATTAATTAATTATCACTCTTCTCTTGTCTGAGAGTCTGTTCTTGCTTTTTCCTTCTGTTTTTCCTTTTCCCACTCCTTGTGGGATCTCTATATCTAAACCTTCTTCTGGTTTCTTTCGTTTAGTTCAAGTTCATCATCATTATAAAAAAAATTATCACTACCTATGTAAAAATAATGATCATTATACCAAAATAAAGTGACGAAATCAACTATAGATTGATTTTACCAAAAAGATGTTCAACCATTTACCCCATTTTTCACCCTCACATTGTGACCAAACTCTTCCCTCCACCATTGTTTCCCTATTTTCCCACCCTTCTTTCCCTCCCACATTGTAGGTGGTCTTAGCTTATTAAATCATTCATGATGTAATTTTGTATTTACAAAAACTTGATAAATTAAATATATGTCAAAACTATGAAGAATATCACTCTACATGTATCAAACAATTATTTATGATTTAGTTCAGCATTTGCTTTTGATTGGTGTTCTTTGTCAAAACTATTTAGTAATCAATAACTCGAGTTGTTGGGAAAGATCTAGTAATGGATCTCATACTATTTAATATTTACTAATACTTTTCCGGTAACCAAAACCAACTTATAGGTGCTTAAAGTTTTCGCAAATTTGAAAACAAAGAAGGAGTCACCCGTTACACACTCCCTACACCTGATCGAAATAAAATTAGTTTTACAATTTAGCTATGATTTGGTGGAAATTTGTTGTATATATATACTGAATAAGTACATCTTTAATTTTGGGCGGATCATATCCACCATTGTCATTTGTACGCAGCTCGTTATAAAAACATTGAATATGCTAATACACAACTTAAAAATCATACATCAAATATTTGAAAGGTCATCCATTCTCGTTTAAATACGTGTTATTTTCATACCCTATTAACTATTATATCTAATTTATCATTTTCTCTTCCGAGCGAGAGTGGGTCCCGAAATCCACCTCGCCCCTACATATGAACCGATCCAAATATCAATTTGATAGGATAAAATCCGATGCGAACCAAACCACTAGAGTGGCTGGGCGGCAAGAGACAGATACAGAAAGCGTACAAATCGATATTAAACAAAAAAACGACAGAATCTTTAGTCAACTAATTAGCCTATGCATTAGTTGACCTAACTCAACTGACCTCTTTCCCAACGCAACCACAAATTAAATCAATCATCGCGAGTACCCCTATCAAATACATTTCTTTATATATAAATAATACATGGATCAAATGGTAATCTATTAATGATAATGAAGATAACTCAAGAAAATAAATAATAGAAAGACAATTGAGTGGTCCTCCAAATCAACACTGAATTATTTTTCTTCAATTCGCCCTTCATTCTTTCACTTTTCCCTCTAGTTAACAAGATACTTATGTTAGTTAATTATTACTTAGTAGATGTATCGGAGTTAGAGAATAATGATTTAAAAAATATGATATTTTATCTTATAGATTAATGGATGTTTTAGGATCATATAATTTGAACCGTATCAAGAATGATTGTATTTTTGTTGACTTCGTGATATAGTAGATCCATCATTATTATAATTGAAAAAATATATATAAATTCTTAGGTACAATAATGTTGGATGTACCAGGGGTATCACCCACGGGTATCCGAAACCCACAGATACAGGGATGAGCTTACGAACCGCATGGGTATGGGGCGGGTAAGGATTTGGATATTTAAAACGGGGATGTGGATGGTTTAGACAAACCCGCCCCATTGTCATCCCTATTGAAAGTACTCTCCTCGATCTGACATGCTCTCATCTCCCTATTTTCCAATTGTTTCTGTCTAAATTACATGTAATGACTCAACTTGTATAGGATTTTACTTTTATTAACTCATATTTTAGTTTTAATAATTCTACCTGATGGACCCAGTATTCAACCGACATCAAAATACGTCATTTTACCATGAATGTTTTATGGATCTCAGTAAACACGTCATTCACAATACATACATTCATCTGAAAAATTCCGTTCATTTCTACATGGTACAAGGGTATGGACATTGTTTTTACTTGTAAAAACATTTTCACTCACAAAGTAAGCACAATTGCACTCCTTCATCCATTAACCCACACTTGGAAAGGGATATTATGAGTGATGGTGAGTGTCAAATTTACTCCCTTCCAATTAAGCAAATTAACATAAGCCAACCCTTCTTTTGGCTTCATCCACGTTGCTTTTGGGGAGAAAGATAAATGATGCTCCTCTTGTCTTCTATTTTCCTAGCTCCACCAATCACCCTCTCCATTTTCATGTAGAAAATATAATTTGTTTATTTGAGAGATGATCCACCAGAATTCTATCTTCACATAATCTTTCCAAGGGGCTATAATGATAGACATGGCAGTGCCACCATCTCAACTCCCTCCAACAAACAAAGCTACATGGCATGCAATATATTTACCATTTACATGAATGAGGTGTTTAAGTGGTGTTTCCCTGTGAGAAACTTGCGTTGAAAATAAATTGATTGCACCTTTGACTTCTTTGGACAACGATCACTAAACACGGTTTACACCTCTTCAAACACAGTTCGAACGAGGGTGTTCGATGTTTACACGACTCTCGAGACAGATCTACATTAAGTTACTCCTACTCCTATGGAGGTTCTGAGAGAGCTCCAGATCTACGACTATCGATAAAAATTTGCAGAGGAAAGATAAGATTGATAAAACTTGACAAGTGGTGTCGAGTGGTAATTTTTGCGGGCCTCTCTCTGTCGCTCTATCCTCTTATTTATAGCCTTGAGTGGGTAACTGTCGTAGAAAAACTGCCTCGGATAACTTCCAAAAAGAACTGCTCCCTGCTTCTTCGGAACGTGGCTGACGTGTCCTTTGAACGTGGGATGAGTAGCAGTTATCTCTCAACCGCCTATGTGCCTCTCTTGAAACCGTCGTAGGAGCTTGTAGCATGCCTCATATATCACGGTCATGGACTTCTTTACTCATGTCCATGGCCCTCTTGGGACTTAGTCTCTAGTGATATAATATTTCATCCCCATGTCATTCTCCTTCGCGTGATTGGCCCCTCTCGTGAGGCGGCATGGCCTCTCAGAATTATCATATGGCATGGCCTCTTGTTTGCACTCATGGACCTCTCAATCATGGACATGACCTCCCTCATGAAGCAGCAAGTCCTTCCCTATACTTAGAATATTTTCGGTTATTTGATTTAGATCATGAGGCGGCATTGCCTCTTTATTCGCGACCATGGACTTCTTATTCATGTATGTGGCCTCTTCCGTTGGAAGGCATTGGCCTCCTCATACTTAGTATTTTTCACGCGCCCAGGTCCTCTTGTCTCGTGTCCATGGCCGTCACATATGACACGGCCATGGACATCTTAATCATCCACATGGCCCTATATTCTCATACTTAGAATATTTTTTGTCATACCGGGCCTTCCTTGAGATAGCATGTGCTTCTTTATTCTATATGGACGTGTTCTTCTTTGATGAGGCGGCATGGCCTCTTCGTTGAGGCAGCATGGCCTCTTCCGGACTTAGTTAAATTTTCACTCATTCGGTCTTATTGGTGAGGCGGCATGTCCTTCTTTAGACTTAGTGGCTTGGGCTTAAAATCAATATCCATAAGGCCCAACTAAAACAACATTAATTGTTATAATGGAGGTGGCCTTATAAACTCAATAATTATTTTGTAACTCACCAATGTGGTACAAGACAACTTTTATGGTGTAAACAAGTGGTGTGCTAGCTAATTGTTTACCTCTAGCCACTCACTACCCTTCTTTCTCATTCAATGACACATTGGAGAAGCCAAGCAAGTAAAGCTTGTCCTTTCTTCCAACATTTAACCTCTCTTAGTGGAGGTGTCATCAATCCCACACAAGCAAACCCTTGTACCCTTCCTCTCCATTTGCACGTGGAAGATGAGTGACCATGTTGTTGTTTTTTTCCATTGCTTAAACGAACTAAGGGAATTCACTTTCTGTTTTACCACAACCAAACTCACTCCCCATCAACCTATACGTGGAGAAGGAGTTTCTCCATCAAGGTGAGTACTTTACTTCCTTTCTTCTATCATACTTAATTAGTTAAAGTAGCCAACCATCCATTGCATTCGGTTGATTGGGTGTAAATGTATTATTTTTATTTTATTATTATTCACACGCCATCTACGCCAGAAGCAGGAGGCACCTATAAATAGGACGCTCATTTATGCTTTCTTGGCAGTTCATTTTGGAGTTGAACTTCTAAATCTCTCTCAAGAGTCGGCTCAATATGCCGCTCCCGGTTACTCTCCTCTCAATACTGACATTGAGCTTCGGAGAAGGTCCCCGCCGACACACCGCCGGCGGGTCCTTTTGTTTTGCAGGTGTCCATCTCGGAGGCTGGTGGCGGATGTTGGCCAGGAAGATCGGCGCTCACCGGACCTCAAACACATTGAAGCAGGCTCCTCGGAGCTTGGCATCAACACTACCAAAAAAAAATATTTTAGTTTTAATAAAGTTGTGAATAGGTGAGATGTTAATTCCTACAAAAACTTAAATACATGTATCATGTTATAGTTTGTTATTTTCCTTTTAAATTTGCACACATGTGAGTCGACATGTCGGCCACTCGCGCCCATGTTACTCAACCTGCCACGGAATAATTATGGGTATCGAGATACTCACCTCGACCTGCACATAATCACTCCTAATTACTAAGTAAAAAAAACTAAAATAAAATAACACATATCAATTTCTACAATTAACAGTAATTATCTATTCTAGAAGCCAGGAAATTAGTCTCATCGACAGATCAAAACCATGCCATTATCATTAAGAAAATAGTTTAATGAGTAATTTTTTTGAATCCATGACCATGAGGGTTATATACTTATATCTATAAAACAATTACTTAAGCACTGAATGTAACTGTAGGAGAAAACTATTCATACATCCTCTGCAATTTTTTTTTTTTTTTGCATTAATGGAGGCTAACGCCAAGAAAAAGAGGACAACAGGGGGAGGTGAAAAGAGAGGAACTAAATCTCGGGGGGAATCACAACTCGCCGCTCAAAAGACATCCCCTGGCTATCCTCCTGAAGCACTATATCGAGCTCGGAAGGAGGACTAACAAGTTCATGCATACCGTAGGGATAGACGAGACTGTGCTTCGAGAGCCAGTCCGCGGCTCTATTCCTTTCCCGGTATGTGTGAACAGTGTTAATCAACCAATCCTGCTCAATGCGCCGCCGGATCGAATTCAACAACGCAGCGTGAGGGTGAATAGGGTCCTGGCGATCCTTAATCAACTGAATAGGATATGCACCAAAATGTTCATATCCCCTCTTTATGCCACAAAATTTGCCCCTCCCTCAATTTAATACCCTCCCACATGAATTTCAACCGCAAAATTTAAATGCTACAGCTTCGACCTCTCTCTCTTCTCCTTTCCCATTTCCTTTCGCATCAGATTAATACATCAAAGAGTCTATTTTTTATCCAAATATTTTTCTTTTACATTATCCAAACCTATTTAAATGTTATTAATTAGTCAAATTTTTCGTAATGCATCAAAATATTAGCTATTTTTGCGTTATACTTAATAATTTTGTAACTTTTTTCTTAGTTAAAATACTAAAATTTTGCAATGTTGACCTTCATGTGTCTCTTTCAAGTCAGTATCATGTTGCCAAGTCAATATAACTAACAAAATTGCTAACTGAAAGTTAACATTTGGTTGATTCTTAGTATTTCGATAGGTTTGGATAATATAAAAAAATTTGAAAAAAGGTTTGGATAAAAAATAGACATTATCCATACATCAATATGCACTCAACTTTGCACAAAGAGATAGTTTAAACCCCAAACTTTTCATAGTTGACCGTCAATTCTAACAATCAACTCTTAAGATCGGTGATAACTTAATATAAACTGGTGACTAACATGACTAGTACATGCCCACCAAGTCAGCCAAAGATGATTTATCCAAATTTTATTATTTTGATTTCAAAATTATGAAATGTAGTTTATAAATAAAACAATCCATCAATCAAATCATCCACCTATTTCAGGAAATATCGAAATTCATCTCTTCCATTCAAAAAAAATGCACTTCTCGACGCTAAAAATCGAATTGTTGCACCTCGACTAGGATGGCTTATCTTTCTCTCCCTGCCTCCTTAGTTGTTTAGTTATTGTCTTATTGATGGAAAATCTTATTTTTAGTATTATACTTTTGGATTTGAGCCAAGTTGACTTCTCTTTCTCTCTCTGCTTCCCCAACAGTCAGGTTCATTGACGGCGATTTAGATTATGATTTCGGGTAATGCAGTTTCAGTTATGGACTTGGACAACTTCTCTTTCTCACTACCTCCGTAGTAATTGAGTTTTTCAACGGCATTTTCAAATCTCAGTGATTCCTCTCCTATTGTTGTCGGAGAAGCATTTGTTAGATACTAACGCACATAGGATTGAAATGGTTTTCCCTGTTCAATATGAATGAGATTACTCTACAGAGAGATAGGTCTCTCGGTCAATAACATTATTTTTCTTAAATGTCGTTCTGCTGATGTACAAGGTATATACATATACCAAAATTACACAACTCAACCAGCCGACTAACGCTACTACTATATTTACAATTAATAACCCATCATGGTACGCGCCATTGATTTGCTAGGTAGAAACCAATGACGAGAAGAAGAAATTGTTTTAGTTAAGAGGCCATCAATTTGATTTTTAGATAGATGATATATAGTAGAGCTTCAAACATCCGCCAGAAATAAGTTTGCGAATGAAATGCACATGGACTTTAATGTACTTCATATACCATTACACAAAACATGATTATTTGTTATCTGAATAGCTCTAGTATCATCGCAAAAAAAATTGCAGAGTTAAAATAACAGAAGAATCCATCTCAGAAAAAAGTCGCTGAAACCAGACAAGTTCAGAAGTTACCTCTAACACAGAAAGAAATTCGACTTTAGTGAAGGACATGGAAATTTTGCCCTGTTTGCCCAAGACACAAAAGAGTTACGTACCAAACTTCACACACTATCAACTTGTGCAAAGTTGTTGTAGCTATATTGGAGTATTAACTCTTGTCATGAATGAAAAGTAACAATAATGTAACTCCAAATTTATGCACCCACCACCCTTTTAGATTTATGAAGAATAATGTTCCAAAAATTCAACCACTTCCCCCATCCCAAAATAAAACAAATAAGTTAACAAAAAAAGAAAGAAAATTGATCGGTAAACAGATAATAAGAAAAATAAATAGTACCAGTAACAAATGAAAGAAATAATTTTTAAGGAAGAAAAATCAAAATAAAACCCCCCCAACCCATTTTTTTCAACAATTTATGGCTTGCAGTAATAACCCAAAAATAAAATTAAACCACCCCAACTACCATCGCCTTCCTCTGATGATCAGTTGCACTCCCACTCTCACACGTACCGTTACATCTCACGGCCGTCGCCGTCACCGTTGCCTGCTGATGCTCGTCAACTTTCTGATTATTGCAATTCGGTCCTTTATTGTTATTATTATCATGAACAGTACCGCTGCCGGCCACCGCCGCCGCCCTCATCCTCGCGGCCGTCTCTTGCAGGTCCCTCTTCGCCACATTCACCTTCAGCCCGTGCTTCATGAACAGCGTCAGCGACATCTTCTGCTCCACCTTGTGCCCCTCCGCCACCGTCAGCCGGTGCCGGAGCAGAACCGCCGCCGCCACCGACTTCATCTGTAGGTAAGCCAAATCCTTCCCCAGGCATATCCTGGGTCCCGCATTGAACGCCACGAACCTGTACGCGTCGTGCGCCACAAAGCTGCCGCCGTCCGGCGACAGCCACCGCTCCGGCCGGTACTCCATGCAGTCGTCCCCCCACGTCGACCGCATCCTCCCGGCGGCGTAGATCGAGTACGTCACCGACGACCCCGCGGGGACGAAAGTCCCGTCGGGGAGCACGTCGTCGGCGACGACGTGCTTCGAGTCCTGCGGCACCGACGGGTACAGCCGCAGCGTCTCCGACAGCGCCGCCTTCAGGTAGACGAGGCGGTCAACCTCCTCAAACTCCAGCGGGTCGCCCAGCCAGTTCGCCACGTCAGCGCCACGTGTCTCCTCGAGGACGGTGCAGAGCTCGCGGAGGATCTTCTCCTCCACGGACGGGTTCTGGATGACGAGCCAGAAGAACCAGCTCAGCGCGACGGATGACGTGTCGCGTCCAGCTAGGATGAAGTTCAGCGCCACGTGCTGGAGGAAGGAGTCCGAGTAGGACTCCTTCTTCTTCATGAAACGGGAGAGGAGGTCGTCGTGGAGGAGGACGATTCTTTTGTCGTTAGGCTGCTGCTGATGAGTCATCAGCTCGTCCTTGCGCCGGTTGATGACGTCGGTCAGGTACTGGTCGAGCTGAGCTATGCTCCTGCTCAAGCTGACTTCCATCCCGAGGCGGAGCCACTTCTTGACCTTCCAGATCACCTCGGGGAGAATGAACCGCTGGAGGGAGGCTTCGGTGGCTCGGTCGAAAGCCGAGGCGAAGCCGTTCTCGGGGAGGCCCGGCGCGCACGTCTGCGGGTCCTTCCCGAAAGCCAAGCCGCAGATGTTGTCGAAAGTGAGCCGAAGCAACAAATCCTGGAGGTCAACCGGCTCGCCGCTGACCTGGGCCGACTCGAGGATGGGGCAGAACCTGAGCTTGATGGCGCGGCTCACCCAGCGAGCCATGGCCTGGCGGAGGGTCCGGGTGGTGAATTCCAGCGCGGCGGTCTTGCGCTGGAACCGCCACGTGTCGCCGTCGGAGTTGAAGATCCCTTCGCCGAGGAGCTCGTGGAAGACGGCCTGCCAGGTGGGGCCCTTGGGATAATTGTCGAAGCGGGTTTTCAAGATGTGCTCGACGTTCTTCGGGTCGCACGTGACGGTCACGAGCCCCTGCTTCTTGGCGAGGAACGGAACCGCGCAGATGCAGGTCTGGTAGGTGCCGCCGCAGGCGCGGAGGTTGTCGGAGATCCAGTCGTGGAGGCGCTCGCAGTTCTCGATGAGGCCCGGGAGGCTGCCGAGGAGCGGCCAGACCCGTGGGCCGCGGAGGGAGCGGGAGATGAAGGTGAACCAGAGGAGGTACGCGGTGACTAAGGAGAGGAGGAGCAGGGCCGTGGAAATGTCCATCAGGTGTTCGACGAAATGCGTGAACCGGGGGAAAAAAACCCCAAAGCGGGGGGGAAGAGAGAGATCTGTTTAGAATGGAGACAAGAAGGAAGGGAAAGAGAGTGGGAGAAGAAGAGTACAGAGTGAGAAGAAGGGAGAGTGTAACTTTATAGGTGAGATGTACAGAGAAAGCAATAAAGAAGGACAGACTGGTTTTCTTCGAATTACACTACCCATTTCTCGCCCTTCTTCTCTCTCTCGCTGTTCAGATGCGAAACCGCCATAAATGCAGTTTATGAGAGGTTGGTTGAGGCAGTTTGGGGAAGGAAGGAAGAAGGAAGGGCCGTGGAGGGCTTCTCTCGAACAGATAGAGACCACCACCACCACCACCAATGTCCCTTTTGTTGCTGCTAAGTGTTAATCCACCTCTCTTCCACAGGCAATAAACAGTTTACCACACAACGTAAGCTCTTCTCTTGTCTATTATTTGTGAGTTGTGACCTAGCTTGGCTTTTCTTTCTTTCTTTCTTTCTTTCTGGTTGTTGTTTCATCTCTCTGTGCACACCTACTTTTGCAGGCGGAAGGGGAGGGGAGACTTAAATTCGGGCATTGAATGAAGGAGAGAAGGAGAAGGAGAAGGAGAAGGAAAGGAAGGAGGTGACTTTAATGAGATTGGTTGAGCAAAAGGGTTTTGTAATCTTAGACAGCAAAGACAGTTGATCCAACACCCAGCTAGATAGCTTAAGCTAGCTAGCGCTCAATGGTAGGAAAGCAAATCAAAGAAGGCTAAGCTGAGGCAGAGGTGCAAGCAAAACCAAGTCAATATCTAAAATATAATATTCGTGAAAGCTAGCTAGCTAGCTACAATTAGCTTTGGGGGATAATGGACGATGATGAACATGGCTTGTTGTTGCATTCTCTCGTAATAATTAATTAAGGATATTTATATATTTATGTATTTAATTTGTTAATTACAATAGCTGAAGGAAACAATAAACTAATAAGACTTTGGGGGTGTTTTTGGGTAAAGGTTGGGTGAGCAACCCAACTCCCTAATATTAGTAGCCCACTAAACTCAACTCAATGCCTGATGACTTGCGGGAATTCCAATTTCCTTTTTTTTTTCCCAAAGATATTCCGGCAGGAATAGCAAGATACGAGTATATACAAGACCCAGAAGGTTAGGACAAAGAAAAAAGGGCAAAACGATGGTCAACCAGTAGCCTAACCATCGATGAAAGGGCCGTTCTTGCCACGCTAAACTTCGTCATTCTTTTTAAAAAAATGGTTAATAAAATCTTTGCATTGAACTGGGAAACCGGTCGTCCCACAGTTTTGACCTTGTGGCGGGAGGTCAATTATATAAATGCATGGCTGGGTGGTTAACAATATTGTGGCGGGGATGAAAAAGTCAACAGTTCTCACGTAGGCGGACAGAGAATGTGAGGAGGACACGTGGCTTTTGGAAGTTTTGCCAGTTCTGTTTTCTGTTCCATTTTCCGTCTTTTTGCTTTCGGACGGACCGGAGTGATTCAGTGGCCTTGTCTATCTTGGCCGAGAGTTTGCCGTTTTTTCCCGGCATTGCTCTTTTACAATAACCCTAGCTAGTTAGTACTTCAACAATGGGAGCACAATGCATGCATGGCTTGAAAAATTCGTTTCACATTTCTCAAGATGTATATACGTAGAGGAAACATTCACTCTGCTATAAGAAAACCCAACCAACGTATGCAGTTGCAGAGGCGTAGCTAGGATTTCGTCTAATGTGGGTTCATTTTTGTAAAATCGGATAACGCGGAAAAGAAAGAACACAAGAATTTACGTGGTATCCCCGTTCAAGATGAACGAGACTAATCCACGGGAGCAAGCTCCAGAGAAAGGGTTTCACTAGTAGTCGGCCGAATAGAAATCAAGGCCTGTAGTTCTTGTTACACGTCTAGGCTAGCTGCGGGATATTTAACCTAGGGGATTAGGGGAATTAAGTTACCTAATTACAAGATGGTCCTCATAATTAAACACGGTAACTATTTACATCCCAACACTCCCCCTCAAGCTGAGGCATGAAGGTCACAAATGCCCAGCTTGGACAAAAGTGAATGAAACTGCTCAGCACCCAGAGCTTTGGTAAAAATATCCGCCAGCTGTGAGGTAGAACCGATCTTCAAGGGAGCAACTTCGCCGGTAACAACACGCTCACGTACAAAATGACAGTCCATCTCCACGTGCTTAGTCCGCTCATGGAAGACGGGATTAGCTGCGATATGAAGAGCGGCCTGATTGTCGCAGTGCAAAGGAGTCGCCGCCGGCTGGGGAACACCAAGTTCCGTGAGTAAGAAACGGAGCCACACAACTTCACTGACGGCACTAGCCATGGCCCTGTATTCGGCCTCGGCAGAAGATCGAGCAACCACGCGCTGCTTTTTGGTACGCCAAGAGACAGGAGCCGAACCTAACTGAACATAGTAACCGGTAGTAGAACGGCGGGTCGTCTGACAGCCACCCCAATCTGCATCACAGTAAGCAGAAAGAGTCAAAGAATCACCAGAAGGGAAAAAGAGACCCTGACCAGGAGAGTTCTTGAGGTATCGGAGAACACGATGGGCGGCCACGACATGCTCAGGACTGGGAGCATGAACAAACTGGCTGAGGATGTTGACGGCATAGGTGATGTCGGGGCGAGTCACAGTGAGATACAAGAGGCGACCGACCAACCGACGATAAGCATGAACATCAACCGCCGCATCAGTACTCGTAGAAGGCCGGGTGAGAGTGTGATTTTGCTCCATCGGAAAACGACTGGGACGGGCTGCAGTAGCCCCCGCGTCACTGAGGATGTCCAAAGCATATTTGCGTTGGCTAAGAAAGGCTTTTGATGCTGAATCGGTCGTGAAGAAAGGCTTTGACTTGAGAAATGAGCTCAACGTCATTACCAGTAAGGACCACGTCATCAACGTAGATCAAGGCGGCAACAAACGAGGTACCACGGTTGTGAATGAGGAGAGATGGATCGGCTTTAGAGGCGACGAAACCCAGCTCAGTGAGTGCCGTGATAAACTTGTTGTACCAGTTCCGTGAGGCCTGGCGAAGACCGTAAAGAGACTTCCGCAGACGGCAGACTCGGGTATCCCCTTCCGCTGCAAAGCCAAGAGGGACCTTCATATAAACTTCCTCCTGAAGATCGCCGTGGAGAAAGGCGTTGTTGACATCCAACTGATGAAGAGGCCATCCTTTGCTGACAGCAGCGGCAATGAGAACTCGAACAGTGACCAGCTTGGCCACAGGAGCAAAGGTATCATGGAAGTCGACACCTTCGACCTGGGTGAAGCCTTTGGCTACCAATCGCGCCTTATACCGTTCAACAGAGCCATGAGGATGATACTTGATCTTGTAGACCCACTTCGAATCGATGGCGCGCTTCCCGGGGGGCAAAAACTCCAAAGTCCATGTCCCGTTAGCTTCTAAAGCCATTATTTCTTTCATCATTGCTTCACGCCAGCAAGCGTGCTGCACTGCCGTGCGAAAATGCTTCGGTTCGACGACCTGTGAAATAGCAGCCAAAAACGCACGGTGTGAGTAGGAAAACCGATGATAGCTAACATGGTTAGAGATGGGGTGAGTGACCGAATGGGAGGAAGAAGCTCCCGGTAGCTCGACGTCGTAGATGGCGAGCTAGGAGGGAGGACGCCGATCCCGATCGCCGCGACGCAAGGGGGGATCCAAGGGCAAGGGACCACTGGGAGCCGCGGGACTGGGGAGCGGAGGAGCAACATCCTCGACATCAGCAGCCGGCGAAGGGGACGATCCCGGTGTAGAAGGCGGCGAGGGCGTGAGGCCTGGGGAACCACCATGCAATGACGAGGAGCCCGGGGACTCGCCATGCAGAGGAGGGGCCGGTGAATCGCCCACGTCAAAGCTGGAAGTAAGGTCATCGGCAGTAGTGGCGCGTTCCTCGACCAGAGGGTCGAGCTCCCCCTCAAAGTGAGCAGGCGGTGAAGGAGGTACCTGGGGCTGCAAATCTGAGGAAAGGAAGGGAAAATCAGTCTCCACGAAATGAGCATCGCGGGTAGTGTAAATGCGACGGAGACGTAGATCATAAACACGGTAGCCTTTCTGGGAAAGAGGATAGCCAACAAAAATGCACCGCCGCCCCCGTTCAGCAAACTTATCCAACCCAGCACTTGTATCTTTGGCGTAGACCAAGCACCCAAAAGCACGAAGATGCTTGTAAGAAGGAACGCGACCAAGCAAGATCTCATATGGTGTCCGGTTGCCAAGAACAGAGGAAGGCAACCGATTAATCAAGTAAGTCGCAGTCAAAACACATTCACCCCAAAACCTAACAGGGAGCCCAGCCTGAAAACGAAGAGCTCGCGCGGTGTCGAGAAGGTGCCGGTGTTTCCGTTCTACAACCCCATTCTGCTGAGGCGTATGAACGCACGAAGTCTGAAGAAGAATCCCCCGATCAGCATAGAAAGCACGAAGGGTCTTGGTCTGAAACTCCAGCCCATTATCAGCCTGTATTCTGCGAACCTGTCGTTCGAACTGAGTAACCACCATCTGACAAAAGGCAAGAATATACTTTTCGACATCGGACTTGTATTTCAACAAATACACCCAAGTGGCTCGGCTAAAATCATCAACCACCGTCAAGAAGAAATGTGAACCATCCAAAGAAGGAGTCTTATAACCACCCCAGATATCAATGTGGATCAAGTCAAAACAGCCATGTGTTTGAATGGAACTAGTGGGAAAAACAGACCGAGTGTGCTTGGCCCTTAAACACGGGTCACAATGTGTTTTTGAAAAAGAAATGCTCTTGGAACTAAGTGCATCACGTAGCAAAGAAAGCTTCTCAAAAGATGGATGCCCAAGCCGATGATGCCACAGCGTGGTATCGTCCCGCCCAGCGGCTGCAAAAGCTCCACGATCACAACCGGCCGGGGCAGCACCCATGCTAGAGCGATCCAAGTAATATAAGCCATCACGCAGTCTCCCCAGTCCAATCACTGTCCTGGAACATAAGTCCTGAATGATACAAACACCAGCCAAAAACAACAAACCAACATCATGGTCCTGTGTAAGACGACTAACGGACAGAAGGTTGCACTTAAATTCTGGGACATGGAGAACCCGGTGGAGGGTCAGGCGATCATGTAAGCGCACAGAACCCACTCCTTCGACGGGTATACAACGGCCATTGGGAATACGAACAGGGGAATACGTGCCACTACGATTCACACGATCAAGCCAACTAGCGTCTCTAACAATATGCTCATTGCACCCAGAATCAATGAGCCATTCATAAAGGTCAGAGCAATTACCGGCCATGTGAGCAGTAGGGTCAGAAGGTCCAGAGCTAGGGGCGCTGAAGAAGTCCTTCAAATTTGCGAACTGTGTGGCAGTGAGGCCCGGGATGGGACTGCTATCCGTGTCAACGTGAGCTGCCCGCGGAGCATTCTCCCCAACCTGCCTGCGCGCGCTACCCGGACGTTCCCCTTGCTTCCCTTTCTTTGAGTCGGAAGGAAAACCATGTAAGCGATAACACATGTCCTTGGTGTGACCGAGTTTACGGCAATGACTGCACCGAACTGGCTCGGCGTTGGCGGGCTGCTTCTCATCACGAACTTGGAATGCAGCTGATTCCACTGTAGGTCTGCGGCCAGCCGTGAGTTGTTGCTGCTGTTCATCCCCAGCGACCAGTTGGTAAGCTTCAGCAAGGGAGGGCAGCGGCTTCGTGGCCAAGACTTGGGAACGAACTACCGCGAATGAGTCATCGAGCCCAAGAAGAAAGTCGAACAAGCGCTCGGACTCAGCCTTCTCGCGTGCCTGGCGAGCCACGTCGCAGGGGCACCCTCCGCAACTGCAATGAGGGTTCACGCTGACTGTTTGCATCTCATCCCAATAGGTTCTCAATTGAGTGTAGAATGCAGAAACCGACGACTTGTCTTGGCGGAGAGCACCTATCAGCCGTCGTAGTTCATAGGCACGGCCGGCAGATCCCGCGCCAAACCGTTGTCGGAGATCAAGCCAAATTTCGCGCGCCGTGCGCACACCACGCACGCTGTTGCGAAGTTCTTTCGTCATCGCCGTCTTGAGCCAACCCTTGACCATTGCTTCACAGCGGTCCCAAGCATCAAGTCGAACGAGATCGGTTGAAGGCGGTCTTGGCAGGGTGCCATTGACGAACGCCAATTTGTTTTTCGCGATAAGAGTTTCGGTCATATCGCTGGCCCATTCGCCGTAGTTCAGGTCGGTCAGTACATCACCACCGAACAGCTGACCTGGATTTTCGGACGGATGGAGGAACAGAGGAGAGCCGAGAGGAATTGAGTCGAGGCCAGTGATGGCAGCTTTGCTGTCGCTCGAGCTATCGTCCTTCTCGCCCATGATTGCCGCAATCAAAGTCGTTGACGAGGATCACAGCTCTGATACCATGTAAAATTGGATAACGCGGAAAAGAAAGAACACAAGAATTTACGTGGTATCCCCGTTCAAGATGAACGAGACTAATCCACGGGAGCAAGCTCCAGAGAAAGGGTTTCACTAGTAGTCGGCCGAATAGAAATCAAGGCATGTAGTTCTTGTTACACGTCTAGGCTAGCTGCAGGATATTTAACCTAGGGGATTAGGGGAATTAAGTTACCTAATTACAA